ACTAAAGAATTCTTGTGCGACATTTGAGAAGATTTATCCGATCGCTAGCCTGCCCGCAGGCGGGAATTCAAATCGCAATTCTTGTAAGAGGAAAATAACAAAATAGGCTCGTTTTTAATGCACAAGTAACGATATGGCACCAAATTTGCTGTATAGTTGGAGGACCATGAGCACAAAAAAGTATGAAGAATTATGAGAAACTTATTTGAATTTAAAAAATGGTAAGTGTTTTTCGAAACTAGGTGGCTCCCGCGCCACCTGGGACCAACCTGGGGTGGCTCCCTGCTTCCCTTCACATAATTTCCCGGATTTCTTCACATAAATGTGGACTAGGTCGAGAGTATTACTATATGTTCAAATCCGCTTCTAAAACCACCAAGGCACCGCTTCGATACAGCCCCAAATAGGGTTCACAGCGTTATGATCGGCCTCGGAAACGCGCTCCAATCGCAATCGGTTATTGTAAATTGTAAAGTTTCGCAGCTGACTAATAAATGAGTAGAATCTTAGACATATAAACGTCAAAGTTTGTGCAAATCTTGACCCTATGTTTTTTATAGATTCCTTTACGGATGAACCCATTGAGCTGAAACCTTGAAAACATATGTTTTTATCTTCGGTAGATGGTTTTAAGCTACCCTTCGAAGCAATTCGTGGAATTCTTCTATCGATTTAATGATTTTTGGTACCTTGCAAGGAAAGTGAAGACTTACCAGCCGCTAACAAACTGCTTGCACATTTTGGTGTGAACAATGCAGTGAAGTTCATTTCCACTTTAAAATTAGAAGGTGCAGTCACTCCAATAAGCCTTTCTGAGGTAAGCTCGTGCAGGATGGTAAGGGGGAGGGCTGCAGTGCAGTATTGATACTGCAGAAAAGGGGTGGAGAATATGGCCCAAAAGTACGGGAAGGTAGAAGGACAAAGTGTGATTTTTGGCCATCCCCTCAAACGATGACCCGGGCTGGACCGGGAAAGCCAGGTACTACTACTATAACAAGCCCATCTTATTATTTGTGTATATTTGTTTGTCAGGGACTTACGGGGGTCAAAAATAGGATCAAAGAGGAAGTCGTAAGAAATTTTGGCTTTAAAGGGGATATCGTTTTCAAAATTCTGAAATGCCACCTCCTGCCGGGCCCTGGCTGTGAATACAGAAAAGAAGTGAGAGTGATTGATGGAGGCAAACTTTAGACATCGATTCGCCTTTTGGTCACTTCTATCAAACTTATGCACCTGTTTTCAAAGATACTTATCTACGACAGATATATTCTAAGCACAACACTCTCGGTAAGCTGACACACACAGAAATAGTCATTCGTTGCAACTTGGCGATGCCAAAGTCACATAGGTACTGAGAAGGAGAAGTAGCAGCTCCAAGCAAGAATTAGTATCCGTAGGTAATGGCCTTAACAGCATCATTTATCAAATTTATGTCGATAAACGTTAGATGCTGTTATCCCAGTTTTGGTAGATTTCATGACTTTTGGTCAAAAAGACAGCCTTCCGCCTAAGATCCACAGTTACTGCTCCAGAAGTCTGCAAAAAACTGCAACAATACTGATTCTTCAGTGGGAAACCGTATTGATGGAGATCAAAGAATCTGCACAATTTCACAGTTGAGCCAACACATTCATAAAATATCCAAGTGAAAATTCCCCTATGTCTCGCTTGTACTGATTTCATTGTTGGGACTTCACTTGAATTTATAGAATCAAATGTGTGATGCGCGAAAAAGCCTGAGGCAATCCTTTGCTGTCCCTGTCTGTCTCCAGATAGCCCACGATCAGCTGCTATGAGTAATTTTCGCGACTGGCACTTTTGTTGATAGTTATTCGAAACGAAAAATGATCTGCTGTGATCTCAAGCCTTATCGCAGAATCGCGATCTGCATTCTAATCGCAGGTCATCAGAAGACACGAAAAGAATGCGCAGCTGCGCAACTCGCAGCTGCGCGAAGACACATGCAAAGTTAACACGTGTGCGATTGGAGGGCCGGCTTTGTTAACTTCACTTCTATCCAGACAGCGACCGGGACTCGTCTCGTCAAAAGATCGTCTTCCTGATATTGTCAAGTAACCTCATCACATCGTCACATATTTTTGCCTCATTTATTTGTACTGCGTTATTCGACGCAATAAACCGTAAGGCCTCGGGCATAACTCACGCGATTTCAGTCGCCACGCGATTTGGCAATGCTCCAAATGTGTATAACTCATCCTACGGGGTTTCTGAATGTACGAAAGATGGGGCATTTTATCAACCTACGAAAGTTATATATGCTGTGCATTTGGGGTCTACCAGTATCGAATTTGAAAACATCTGGCAAATTGCCAGATCGCGTGGCGATTCAAATCGCTTGAGGTATGTCCCTTGCCTAAAGAAGCCGTGGTGAACAACAGCACGTGGTCAGAGCCAACACATGGTGCATCGGCCGAGAAGGAATGAGGCACGATTTGTTTGCTGAACGCACTGCATGCATATTGGCTTTGATTGAATTACTAGAGGAATTTTTCTCCGCGACTTTTGCATAACCACTCTCAACGCGGTGATCAGTGAATAATTCGTTTCTATTCGTAACGAATATCTGGACTCCACGTTGTTTATTTCCAAGTATATTATCGTACTGTCTGTGTAATGGCGGGACCTTTCGTGTTGCGATCGCACAAGGCTCTCTTGACTCGCTTTTTCAATAATTTGAATGAGATGATATCACAGTATGAGGAGGGCATTTTCTTGCATGATGCCCAACCATTTACGGAGGAAATTTGCCAACGAGTATCACTTATTCTGGCGCAGCTAAAGGGAACGTCTAGTCTCGTTTTGAAGCAACTTGATAGTCCCACTTTTAACGGCAAAATATGGGAATACGATAACTTTTGGACGCTGTTTGAAACGAATGTCCACAATCAACCGCTCCCAAATCTGCAGAAGTTTAACTACCTGATAAAAGCGTTAGGAAAACCACGGGAGTTGATAAAGCGGTATGCGGTTACAGAAGACAATTACGATCACGCATTGGAACTTTTGCGTAAAAAATATGGCGATGAGTCACAACTCATCGCAATACTACAGACGCGACCCGAGAATGCGAGGGCCGAGCAGGGAACCATAACGGCACAAAGGAAGCTCTTAGACACTCTACAACCCCATCATTACCAATTAGAAAAGCTAAGCGTTAGCTTGGATGGATCTTTCCTCGCACAAAAAGTGATTTCAAAGTTTACGGTGGAACTTCCGAAAGGTTTGGAGCTTCATGTGTCTCACGAAACGGGAGAAGAAGACTGGAAACTCCGAAACATTTTAGCGGACCTTAACTCACTCATAAACATGGAGGGGCGAGTCAACGACATGGTCAACAGGAACACGAATCACGTCGCTATCGGGGACGAAGTCCAATTACGGCGGAATACAATACATGGAGCAACACAGGACACAGACTCCATGCTGCACATTCTGTGACGCCATAAACCACAAGTCGGTCAGCTGCAGGATTTATGACACCACAGAGAAACGGCGGAAGGTGATGCAAGAAAAGCAGCTTTGTATCAACTGTGGCGGAAAGGACCACTATGCTAGAGACTGCACCAGTGAAGCGTGCAGGAGTTGCCCAGGCAAAAGGCACCATTATACACCTTGCCCAAAACGCTTTCCCAAAGCAATGGGCGACAAGGATGGAAGTCGAAGACAAATTTCGCAGCAGCATCCACACGCACCACCACAGCCCAGGAAGGCTGTTGACACAAAACAACAAAGGAGCAAACAAACGCGAGCGCATCCAATTAGCACGGAGGTTTCATAAGAAAATAATGGATGGATAGAACACATGAACCAAAAACCATTCTCCATTCCAAGGAAGAAGACACGCTCAAAGGAAATCATTCGGTACCACTTCTAACAGGCTCAGCAAAGATCTACAACACCGTTGGCAAGGAACGGACTGACGTCGAGATACTTTTTGACGCAGGTGCAGATCATTCCTTTATTAGCGCAAGCTTAGCAAATAAACTTCACCTGGGGAACTTAGGGCAGAAAGCTTCCAGATGTATACGTTCGGTTCGCATGAAGCGAAGCCAAAAGTGTGTGAGATGACCCAGCTAGAGCTTTGGGGTAAGGAAGGAGGAAGTCACAATGTACGGTTATACACAACGCCCGTGCTTACGGAAAAAGGGAAAAAGGTGATATTGAGCAACGAAGACCTGAAATTTTTGGAGACCCGTCGGATACCCCTCTCGATCACAAAACAAAAAACCCACCCACAGATCTTACTGGGGTGCGACCAACTTTGGGACTTCTTGGATTGCATCACCAAGGTTCAGGCCCCATCAGGTCTATTACTCATCCCTTCCAAATGGGGCTAGCTGATCACAGGGAAGCAACATATCTTATGGGCTTCCACGTCCCACAATGAGAAAAAATCTTCAAGATTCTTGTCTATAATCCGGATACTGACAAATCTCAAAGATTTCGATGAAGATAAAGGAACATGGGACAAATACGGGACAATAGATTCGTCAGGAATCGCGAATTCGCTGGTACTATAAGTGAAGAAAAGGCGGCAATTCAAGAAAAAAGTGTACATCTCCAACTTCACAACTGAGAGACGCATAGATGGATACTATGCACGCTTGCCCTTCGAGGAATCACACCTTCCTCTACCCACCAACAAAACGATTCCACCTTTGCTTACTCCAGGGGTTTTCTACCGAAAATTCCTAGAGCATTCCGAACACCTGAATCAGATAATGTTCACCGTCAGCCGACTGGAGAAAGACGTAGTGAAGATGTGTCTGTTGAAGGAGAAATGGCCGGAACGCTTGGCACTGGTACAAATGAGAGAGCACGAATGCGAACGATACAGACTGGAACTTTCATTTTTGAAGAATCAGTTTCGCACATTCTCGGTTATACCGCAGTTCCTTGACGCCGCAGATGTCATGTCCACCGACACTTGGGAAGGCCTGAAACAGTGACAGAGGCGGGACCTCGCGGGAAGAGTACTCATGACGGATTTCGACGACATCAATGTAGTTATCGAGGATCACCTGGCCGCGCTAGAAGTCATCAGTCAACGAATCCTGAACGTACGCAAGCGAATGCAGCAGGAGGACCGATCTGAGCATGCCATTCGCGAGGAGCAGATCCTGACCGCCATTAACGCCCTGACGGACGTTCAGGACTCAACGGCGAAGAAGATAGAGATAATCGAAGGCCACCTGCTGGTTATGGTTACCAAGCTGAAGGGGATGGCGGAAAACCTGAAGCAACCCGACACGCAAACTGATACGGCAATGCAGCTGAAAGGCATCCTGGACGGAGCATTAGCTACGATGATCACCAAGATGAATGAATGGCAGTCACTGGCGCAGATGCCGCAGTCGCAAGAAACGGTGGCGAGACGAGAGACCAACGCTGAGAAGGAGGTCAGCTTGGAAGAAGGGCCGACTGCAGAGATTGAATCGGAACGCGAATTGAAAGAAGAAAATGTTGGCGGAGATGATAACGACCTCGTAGAAGAGGACCTTCAATTGCAAGACGACGCGCCAAACGCAGAAGAACAGGACGAAAATGAATTGCGTGAAGAGGAACTCCACCTGCAAGAGGAGCTCCCAACCGACGACAATGCAATGGATCAAGAAGAGGGCGAACTAGCAGAGCAAGACCCTAAGAAGGATGTTGAACCGAAAGCCCGAGAGCCCCGACCTCGTGACCGCATAGAGGACGAACGACGTCACCAGCAACTCACTGAAGAATTGGAGCAGGTGATGGAAGCGGAACGCAACTTCAAGCAGCTGATCCAGGACCTGGCAGACAGAAAAGTGTGCCCACTATACTTGGGTAATTCGAAAATTTTCCATCGAATGAATGAATATCGAATAAATTTGAAAAGGAAAAATTTCGAATAAACAAATATCGAATAAATTCGAAAATAAAAGATTTCGAATAAAAGAATATCGAATCAATTCGAGGTTCAAAAATTCTCGAATGAATGAATTCCGAATAAATTCGGAAAGTCAAAAATATCGAATGAATGAATATCGAATATATTCGAACACTGTAAGTCGAATTTCGAATAAATATTCGAATAATTTATCGAATAATTAGAGCAACCAGAACTCAAACTTGCCGACATATCTGGCTGAACCCGACAGTAACCTCGTACCCCTATAACAACTTTTAGCTCAGAATTTTCCAAAAATCGCTGAAATCGAGAGAATAGATTTCGGTTTTAATCAGCATCCTCTACCCCCTGTACCAACTCCCAACCTCGTAGCTCAAGATTTTCCAAAAATCGACAAAATCGATAAAGTAAATTTTTATTCATAACCACCCTCACTTACCCCCTAGTACCAACTCCCAGTCCCGCAGCTAGAACTTCTCCAAAAATCGATAAAGTAAGTTTTTATCCATAATCAGCACCCTCACTCACCCCCTTGTGTGGTATAAGCTAGTCGTGGACGAAGACATGTGGTTTATTCCGCGAAGCGACACGGATGCCCCTATAGCCCCTGGCATACTGCAGGCATTTCAGTGGCGACGTGGTTTGGCAATAGTCAAATTGTCCAGAACTTATTCTAAAAGTACAGAATGCAGGGCATTTATCTTTGTAGTAAGTTGTACACGCTAAACATTTTGGGTAAGCTGGCGTTACTTTTGAAGACATCTCGTAAATGGCAGATCGAGTACGGCGATCTAAACCGTCTAATCCTCCACTACTACTGCGATATCCTTTACTCATAATACACCAATTCGCAAAAATCTCTAAGGTAGCAAATAGAGGCAGCTGTGCAATATAACTTATGCGAGCAAGAGTGCTCACTAATGTGGGCTTTGCGTACCACAAGCATGAGCAATGCAAAGAGAGAAAAACAGGTATTTCAAAACACTTTCAATATATGAACTCGGGACCATAGGTGCGATAGGGGGAGCCGGGATCTCCCCAGGTGAAGGGGGTCTCGGCTCTTCCCGACCTTCCAGGGTGAAGGGGGTATGTGAGTCTAGGGGGGGGGAGGAAGAGAGAAAAGGTAAGAAAGCGTGGTATGAAAAGCTCTAATTTGTACCTTATTTAGGCACGAATTGAAAAAAAAATTAAAAATTTTCAAAAGAAGTTTAAAAATTTTAAAAAAATTTATTATGAAGATCTGTGCTCCTGTTTCACTGCATCAACAAAAAAAGCAATAAGGTTTATCCCAAAAGATGTACAAGTTAGGAACAACTTCATTTCCTGCGCATCCTCATCAACAATATCACTATCGCTAACGTCAGAGACAACAAATTCGGTGCCTGAAAAATCTTCTTCTTCCTCCAAAAGGTCATCGGAGTGGAAGTAGAATTGCGTGCAAAGCGTTCTAAGTCAAAAATGGATTTGAAACGTTCTTCTTCTCTAAGCTTTTGTGATTTTTTCCTGGCCCTTGGTAGCATCAGGAAGTCAGCAGGTACTCAGATAATCGCCGGGGGCAGGCGGCCATGCGATTTTTGGGCAAGCGGGCACCGGAAAGATAGTTCGCTGATTTCTTGCGCTCCGCCTGCAGAAATTTGAAAGAATATTGTTCAATTTTTTGACAAATGCTCGGAGAAGTGTCGCGGTTTTCTTATGGATTAGTTACGGCGCATTGGCCGCATTCTCGCGGACTTTCCGCGAGAATATGCAAAATTAATGAGGGCCGCGCGGTCCTTTGTGGAGGACCGCACAGCCCTCAGGTACTTTCCGCTGAGAGAAAGTACCCCAAACTTGGGTAATAAAACCATCGAAGACACCTTTGCCAGGTAGAGTCTTACCTTAGCTCGGCGTACGCACGAAAGTGCATGAAAGGAGTCCGAGCGCTTGCTGAAAGTTTAGTCAGCGCTCGCTGAAAGAAATTATTTGACGAGCGCTTGCAGAAAATTCTGTATTGCTGCCCGCTGGCGGAATAGGGAAGTACCGCTCGCTGAAGGTTTGGCCGCGCTCCAAAATTTTGCTGACCGCTTGCAGAAAAGCGCGAGTTTGCGGACCGCCTGCCCCCGGCGATTATCTGAGTAGGTGACCAGTTTCTTCATACCATCTTTTAGGATATTTCAAAAAGTCATACGGTAACAGCCAGTCTGGACCACCTATATCAATCCTTTAAATGAAGTTTTTAGATAACAATGTGTTTAGTAGAAGGTTGACAAATCTTAATTATTTGCTTAGATGCTCTATCGTTGTACGACTTCTGCGTTGTGTTCTGATAACAGAGTAGATAGAAAATTTCTTTCTTCACCTCTGCCGTGCTAGTCGGAATGGAAACTAGCTTTGCTAGTAAGTCCATCAGATTTTTGCGGTAAGTAATGGGAAAAGAGCCAGATCGCATATGCTTTCGCAACACAAGAAGGAAATAGTGCATACTTTTTTGGGCCTTTTCGAACTCTGGCTTCACCTCCTCTGCCATACTTCCTGTTAACTGACGAGAAAGCTGCTCAACTTCTTCTTCAACAGCATCTGCGGAATAGCCGAAAAAAAGTAGATACTAAGCTGCGCGTCGTTTTTTTTCAATATCATAGGTCATAATGTCACAAGGCGAGATACTTCCAGCAGCATAAAGCACAGAGTTGGGTTCGCACTCCAGCCGGGATCTAAGTGCAGTAACTATACTTTGTACTAACACCTTCCTTTTATTCATATCCATGTTTGTGAATTTAGCAGCTTTGAATTCTTTAGCAACCTGAAGATCAGCAATGGACTTCCTGGACATTTCCTCATCGAAACTAGACAATCTGCTTGGATTCCTTATGCAGGAAATCAGAGAGTTTCGCTCAACTGTCAACTCTGTATCAATGTCGACAACATTTTCGTCGGCTTAAGGTTCTCCTTCTGCCTGTTGAACTGGAACCATGCGAGTCATCTGCGATTTTGTAAAGTATTCTGCCTGCCGTTTCCTCTTCAAACTGCCAACCTTTCCAAAACATTGAGGGATAATTTAATAACATGTTATTCTTCTGTCTTAAAGTTCTTGATTCATTGAACCCAACCACCTTCTCTACAAATTAGGTAAGGTGAGTCTAGAGCGTTTTCATGAAAGTGACCTTCTTCAGCACTAAGTTTACAGAGTATAGATTCCAGAAATGGGCAGGTTTTTGTGTGAAGGTGTGGAAATTTACCAATCTCCCATAGTTTTTTGAGTGTGCGCTAATAATGATGGCATAACTGTCAATCAAAAGCGCATTTTTTACCAAAAAAACATAAACATATAACAACGATAAGGACGCTCAAATAGACGCGTTCGCTCACGTTTCCGTTAGTGCTGATAACGATGTCAATCCACAGCACATTTTACTATTAACTTGCTCCACCTCGCTCTCATTAGGTCGTCCAGAAAGTTTTTGCGCATGAATTTCAAAATTCATAACTTCTGATTTTTCCAATTGATTTGACTGCTTTCACTTTTATGTGAAAGGGTAAGTCATGCTCTTTATAACGACATCTCAGCTGCTTAGTAATGGTCATCTGTTGCATAGATAGGAGCGATAGAAGAAAAATGGTAAAAATTTTAATTTTCTGTGTAGGGTCATAAAAAATCGGAGACTTGCAACAAAAATCGAAGCAGTCAGTACTGTAGGATCTTTCACCAGCTCTTTCTGACAGTGCAAAGTTTGCGCCGACTGAGCGTCTCCATGAAAAGTTATGATTTCCCTGAAAAATGCCAAAATAAATCAAATTCGCCTTTTTGTATTGCTTGCTCGGAAATCATAACTTTTCATGGAGACGCTCAATCGGAGCAAACTTTGCACTGTTAGAAAGAGCTGGTGAAAGAACCTACAATACCGACTGCTCCGATTTTTGTTGCAAGTTTCTGATTTTTTAAGACCCTACACAAAAATTCAAATTTTGAGTGATTTTGGTTTTGAGCTCCTATCTATGCAAAGTTATAAAGAGTATGATTTACCCTTTCAAATAAAAATGAAAGCAGTCAAATCGGTTGGAAAAATCAAAAGTTATGAATTTTTGAAAATCGTGCGCAAAAACTTTCGGGACGATCTATACAATGTGTTGGCTTTTACGGGTCATCGAAGCAAATGATTTTTAGAGCCGGGAAGCAAAGAAGCCCTAACATGCTGTATAACATTCGAAAGCTGAGATCATGGAGAATCGACGTAGACCGTCGACTTTTTTCTAGGTCTTCTGTGCCGCGAGATATGAGGGATTTTATGTGCTTCAAAAATTAACTGATTTTGTGCCCTCACTTTGTGCTCTCCACAATGCTACGAGGATAAATAAATAATGTAAATAAATATAAATACCGTTTCTTTAGTAAATTTATGAGTGTGCTTGTTGTTTGAGGTACTTAGCCTGCAAAACCTTTTAATAACGATTTTTATCAAATTCTCAGAGTACAATACCAATCTCAGCCCAGGTGAAGGGGGTCATCGGGAGTTTGGCCTCAAAGTGAAGGGGGTAAGATCCATCACTCCCCCTATCGCAACTATGCTCGGGACATGAGCTTGAATTTGATAGCTTCTTTGCTGATTTGGTGCCAATAACAATGCGAACAATCTCATCGATCGAAAAAGCATCAATTAAAATCCACATATGATTTTTCTCCTGTCAAGCAGTCGGAAGAATGCGACCCTCCACACAGTTCAAAGGTCATAACGGTTGCAAAAGATGCATTACCGAGTTTTGCGGAAAAAAATGCGGACGAAGTGAGCTTGATACTCAGCAGTTGGCTTTGCAACAAAGTCGAATAATCTGAATACGGAGTTCATTCGAATACGAATTCGAATAAACAGTCGAATAAAACATTCGAATAAAATCCATTCGAAACCCCGTTTTTTGATTATTCGAGTTTTCGAATTTTATTCGAAACTCTGTTTTTTGATTATTCGAGTTTCGAATTTTATTCGAAACTCTGTTTTTTGATTATTCGAGTTTCGAATTTTATTCGAAACCCCGTTTTCTCAATTATTCGAGTTTCGAATATTATTCGAAAATGGAAGAACTCCGAATATCGAATTTCGAATACGAATATATTCGAATGTTTTATTCGAATGATCGAATTTCTATTCGATTCGGACCCAAGTTTAGTGCCCACCGAGACGTTTCACGCATGAATTTATCCCTCGCCAAGAGGAGAAGAGTATCCAATGTGTTTTTTGCAAACTAGTGAAACACCACTATTCAGATTCTTGCCAGATAGTTTGGACTGCCTCCATGCGCCGCCACCTGCTAAAGGTGGAACACCGATGCATGATGTGCTTACACACCCTGCACAGAAGACAAGTATTGCTCCAAGTACGCCGTAAAATGCTACCACTGCCGCGCATTCGGACATCACTCGGCAATTTGCGAACTGCCGGAGCGCAGCGAAGATATTGCGGATCAGCTACGCAGAGCACGATCGGGAGAGAAATCGTGAAAGGAGGACCGCCATCGGAAGGCAGCTCCGCACTCGACGCCACTGAGTCTACCCACCAAGCGCGCAAGATGACGCAAGCACACAAGAAGCATATTCCTCACATCATAACCTCTATTGATCACGCTAAGCTTCATGTATCTGCCGGGCGGGAGTATCGCGGAACCGCGATCTTTATTCTGATCGCAAGTCATCAGAAGAAATGAAAAGAATGCGCAGCTGCGCAACTCGCAGCTGCGCGAAGACACAGCTGCAAAGTTAACACGCGTGCGGTTGGAGGGCCGACTTTGTTGACTTCATTTCTATCCAGACAGCGACCGCGACTCGTCTCGTCAAAAGTATCGTCTTCCTGATATCGTTAAGTAACCTCATCACATCGTCACATGTTTTCGCCTCATTCATTTGTACTGTGTTATTCGACGCAATAAATCGTAAAGAAGCCGTGGTGAACAACAGCAAGTGGTCAGAGCCAACACAAGCCTGAAGTTATAATAAAGGTGCTAACAAAGTCATACCTTCTCCTTGAAGATAAAAAGTGCCAGCGAAACAAACAACACTGAGCAACGGATGAAAGAGAAAATACGAATTCAAAGGAACGAGTACGATCGACTTAGCACCCATATTTGCAAACGTCATTTCACGTACATAGTGGATAGTAATTGAATAGTGAATTTCTGTGAAAAATTCGATACTATGAGATGACACGGAAATGCCGGTCACTTTGAAGATTTGATATCTCCGCGCTCGGCCACGAATTTACGTAATCGCGGCACAACGTATTACACTTCTTAAGTCAATCCTGAAGCAGGGAACCGAGCATCCATTCCGAAATCAGAGTGTCAAGTTTATGCTTCACGTTATACGCTAGGCTCGGTAAACTGTTGAGATAAGCAAAAACTTTAGGTATCGAGGTCACATCGTTGAAGGCAGAATAATAGCGCTTCCGAAATTCAAGCGAACGTCGAAGAGAGTTTATTGTTGCTCCAACTCCGAATCCGTTTTGGCACCGATTTCAACCCATCTGCGATAAAATCAATTCATATCCTCATATATCATACCCAACCAGAACTTGCATCAGTTTGCCTCAGGTTTCTGATAAAGGATTGCCCGCGTAGTCGTATATAGTTCGCGGCGACATAGGTCAAACAGGGCTCGGCATGAAGTGGCCTTTTTGATTTTCAAAAAATGAAGCTCCCGCAGACTTCGCCACAAGAATAGACATCACTTACGATGCGAACATGAATGGATAAAAACGAATAACGAGAAGTTATGGAACAAAACATAAAGAAAATATTGAACAGACGTAAAAGAACTGAAAATATCCGTATTCTCTGAATTGGCGGCATGCTGTGTCCGGCGCGCACCCTTGGAGCAGACTCGCCGCCGCCATACAAAATATTTGGAGGGCTGTAACTATGCGGGGAAGAGGGGGTTTAGGGAGATCCAAAAACTCATTTGTATGGTTTTGATGTAATGTTTTTATGTCAAACATATGAAAAAATTATGTGAAGGAAAGGAAATTCATGACTTTTTCTTTTTAAAGCCACTTCGGGTGGCTGTCCAGGTGGCTGTAAAGCCACCTAATTGAAAAAAGTTTGCCACGCCTTCAGTTCACATAAATTTTTCATAATTTTTTGCACATAGTTCTAATTCCCTACTGCCCATCTACACATCAATTTTGGTGTCATTTCATTTTCTCTTCGCTGTAAACAAAGTCTTTTGTTCATTTCGGGGCAAGTTTGAATTCGCGCGCTTGCCCGGCGAACCCGTTGAAACAGGAGATTTTTGGTTTTTGCAGGGGGGGGGGGCTGGAGTTTCCTTTAAACAATACTCCCTTTGCTTTTTTTCTAAAACGATATCTAACTTGCCTTGTAAGCCACCTGTGCCGAGCCCTGAGGCGATGGTAAATGGATACTTCATAGAGTGAACTCCTTCTGCTTGGTTTATTAGAACTTTGCTTGTGTTCAACAATTCATTATTGGGACGTTTTCAATTTAACAACATAAATACACGTCGCAGAAAATTTCTTATGATACATACATAAATAGATGGGAAATGGAGAGTTAAAGTGAATGCAGTGCCACTTTTTACAGTTCTTTTTCTTGCACATGTGCTCCACATGTACTGCATCCATATTTTACTCTTTTGCCGCAGTCCGCCGCCTGATGTCATGCTATATAAAATCTCGAAGTGGCGTGTAGGCAGGATGACGGAACAAGCGGATGCCTTCGACTGTCCCGGCTTTAGTACCGCATTTAGGCTTCCGATGCGGTCTCGCGATCCTCCACCCGTTGCTATCGTTTGAGCTGGTCGTCAAGGGCATCCATTAATGCATAGAACATCTTTTTCGTATCCTCGTCGTGATGAGCCTCAGATATCCTTTAAGCTCAAAACTTTTGCAGTGGCTAGCGACTCTACTTTTTCCTCAGCGGCTCGTTGGGCTCGGCACCAAGTGGCGTATTGAGCAGTAATCTACTGCGTATTGAGCATTTTCCTGACGTGACGGTTGGATTGGAGCAGCGGATGGAGGAACTTCAGCTGCCGGCTCGTCTCTTTCGCAGATCCTTCGTCAAAAAGTCTCCTTTGGTTTCGTGAACGAGACGGCGAATGGAAGCGACGTAGTTACTGCATTGTGTTGTCTTCGCCTCTATTTATGAAAATGCGATGTGTGAAGGTGGTCGCAATCTTCGGTGGGACCTCTTAAGCTATGTATATGACCTGATAGCTTCGTAAGATGTTTTGTTTTTGAATGAGGTGAACCAAAAATATCAGAGTCGAATATGGGATATTTAGTAGCCTAGAGTCGAAGAGTCTGCGGCTACTTGTTGTAAAGCAGTCACCTAAAAACATCCACTAAGCTGTGGATAGGATTTGAAGCTCAGTAAGACTCTTGGTCGTGGAAATTGTTGAACCAGCAATCACGGGAGTCAAGATATTTCGCTAAAGTAGAGACTGCAAAGCGTGCCTTAAGCCTTGATTTTTCGCGTCCAAGGAGTCGCCGAGGGAAAATACAAAGAATTACTGGCCGATGCACCAAATTGGTGAGAACCAAGTGTCTCGTAGTGTAGATAGTGGAGGTGAATATTTATTCAGAAGAACGTAACATACAATGGGACCTTTTATACGTATGAAAGGGGCAAAATCTACCCGAGGACACAATCGCTGTAAATGGGAAGCTTTAAAGGAGATGCACCCCAAAGGTCGACTCCCACTGCACGAATGTCACTCAAATTTGAAGGATTAGATACTTGAGTAATAGTGTATGGAACCATGCTCAGGGAATTACCTGGAGTAGGCTGACATCCGGAAGATAGGTGACTGATTTTTCGCACTCCGCTTGCAGAATCTTATAAAATTTCCGCAAGCTTTTCAAAGCTTGTGGGAAGTCAGTTCTGTTGATTTTTTGATTCGACCAAAAAGCAGCAATTTATCTGCAATAAATCAGAGCTGAAAAGCAATCAACAAGCAGCATCGCAAAAGTGCGCAGTTAGTCCAGTAATGCGCGCGGAATGCGAAAAGTCGACAACGCGGACTTTCCGGTGACCGCCTACCCCCGGCGATTGTCTGAGTAGTATATGGGCACTCTGTGCGCTATTTTCAGAATGAGCTTTAGGCCGATGATATAGAATCAGTAACGCAATCCATATGTGGGAGGGTCCCCACTTTAGAGTTTATGCTGACTGTTCACATGCTCCATCGTACATCGTTAAATTATTGAGTTTTCTTACCTTCCTTAATTGTTTTTGTATATTTGCGAGCTGCAGTGGTCGTAGAGCATGTCGTCGTTCTTTCGCTGGTCTTGCAAAGCTGCCAGATCAATTGACGCTGAATATGAGAAAAATATAAGAATACGAATGGCGTAGTTAAGTGAATGATGAAACATAAGTGTACAATGCGCAAGCCGTGGAGCAAAGCTAGGAATGTCTTATAAGCAAAACACGTCCATTCAGCGATAGGCGTCACCAGCAGGGTCAAGCGTGGGGTGCGGCACGCCACACCTGGGGGGTCGTATTAAGGAGTCAAAAGGGGAGGGGTCGTAGTTGGGTAATCTGCTAATAGTGATAACATGATATTCGTATCCTATCCATAATTAGCATGTCAAATAACCCCTGTAGACAAAGTGTGAGCGAATTCTGAAGGTTCAAGATACTAGGCTATCTAAGTGAAATGGTCAAATTCCAACATGGTTAACTTTGTTTCAGAGGTGAATTGGCTATCCGTTTTTGCACTTAAGGCAAAGCACTACTCCTTCTTTGTCCACCTCAGGAATTCTGCTTCAGATGACCTCCAAAATGTGGAATTAGAAGCTAACCGAAATCTCGTTTTTCCCATTTTTCGCTTTTGATCGCTGTGCTTTCACCAAATATTATTTAGAGCTAAGAAGACGAATCAGGCTCAAAACAGTCCTATGGAATCTACAAGGTTTAGGCTATCGATCCATATAAATACTGTCCGCTAAAAATGTTTTTTATATAGTTAATGGGGTGCGGCACACCCCCTTAAAAGCTGCGGCGGCCGCAGCTTTTAAGGGGGTGTGCCGCACCCCATTAACTATATCAAAAAAACAATTTTAGCGGACAATGTTTATATGGATCGATAGCCTAGATCTCCTAGTTTTCACAGGAGTAATTTTAGCTTAATTCGTTTTCTTTGCTCTGAGTAATAGTTGGTGAAAGCACAGCGATCAAAAGCGAAAAATGGGAAAAACGAGATTTTGGTTAGCTTCTAATTCCACATTTTGGAGGTCATCTGAAGCAGAATTCCTGAGGTGGACAAAGAAGGAGTAGTGCTTTGTCTTGAGTGCAAAAACGGATAGCTAATTCACCTTTGAAACAATGTTAATAATGTTGAAAAATGACCATTTCACTTTGGTAGTCTAGTATCTTGAACCTTCAGAATTCGCTCACACTTTGTCTACAGGGGTTATTTGACATGCTAATTATGGATATGTTGCCCATTATGTTTGACAGGGCCTTCAAGTAATGCTATCTTAAGTGTATAGTTTAGGGGGGGTCTTATTAAGACAGCAATCAGGGGGGGGGGGGTCGTAACCAGCGGACGTGTGCCACACCCCTTGCTTGACTCTGGTCACCAGCGATGCGCTCCCTATTGACGAACGCTTGCCTGTGCGCGCGCTATCGTTTGCAAAGTCCGCCACACTACACCATATTGGTTGCAAGAGCACTTTGTGATGTTATAACTAAAACTAATAGCCGTATGTTCCATATGTGTGACAGCGTTTTGGTTTTTGTGAATTTCTTAAGTCTTATGTAGGTGCCGGTGCCTGTAAAAATTTTCCTGCATCCTACCCAAAGGCTTCGTCGATACTTTTTGTTATGGATCAGCTCGCATTTGTCCATGTTTGATCCTAAGCCGGGGCCAAAGTTTTTTAGGGCTACTAGCCAGAGTCGAAAACAAAGCCTTGGTGTCAACAGGGTGTCCCAAAAATCATGTCACCTAGTATTCAAAAAAAGAATAGAGGAGATATAAAATCTGATGCATGCATTACTCAGAAATCATGAATACAATACAATATTCGTATTTCATGATAGATTTTATCTTGTTAGCAGAAGCCTGCAATCGAAATTGATGCCACTGCCGTGGCCGCGCAGGTAAGCACCAAGTTTGTCCCCCCCCCTATGGAAATAGTTCCTATTACTGGAGTCGAAATCAGAGGAATTCGAATGGAGGGATGTGTATACCTGTGTGTACCATGCTGGAGTTTTGAACACAATTGCGTGAAATAGCAAGAGAAAATGGGCTACAATGCCAGTAGTAAACCTCCGTCGACATCTCTTCTAATGCCAACCTGAGTAGATCATACGGCGCCTCAGTTCAGCATCCGGCGATCTATCGATACAGGTGATGATCACTTTGTGGATGTGAAAAGGGCTCATTTTTAAGGAAATTGCACAAATTTGGTCAAACGGGTAGAGATTACAGTGCAACCACGGCGGCAGTGGTTCGAGACCGGCCAGCGGAATCATTTTTGCTGCTTTCCAGCGCAATCTATGACAGCGGCCACCATCAGTCGATAGTGACCGCTACCATTTCGCCTAGCTGGAGAAATAAAACGAAAGCATGATATTTTGCTGTGATTCGTTGAAAATCAAAAGTTTTAGGACAGAATTAGAATAAGATATAAGTATATAAATTTTGATTTTCTGCATTTCAGAAGTTGAAGCAAAATCGGCAAAAAAGGGGAAGAAATTGCTTTCTTGTTGCTCTCTTTTGCTGTCTTTTTTTCCGCGGCTGCGATTAGCAGCTCATCGATCCTCTGCATCTTTGGGCCCCGGTTGTGTAGTTTTGCGCTAAATTTAAATTATCATTAAGTGCCATGGAGCGTACTGTAGGTTATTCAGAAGGACCTCGGCCCACTAGTGATTCAAATTGAAGTAGTGCAAACTTAGCTATCGTCTTTAACACAATCGTAGCGGCCCTCGCTTGCGGACTAGGTTGCGGGCATGTCAAAGTCGATAGACAGCTGATTTTTCTCCATCATTTACATTGATAGGAGTGATCTTTCGCTACCAAAAGCGCCGCTTACAAGGGGCAACGCCTATGCTCGCTACGGTCGTATGATCAGGCTATACAAGACTTTTGAGACACCCTATAAACTGCTTTTGCTTTGCTTTTTCTTTCTGCTCTGATGAGGCGTTTCTCTCCGTTGACTTTGAACCTCCTTCAACGCGCTTGGACAAAATGCACTAGCTGAGGAGTTATTTTGAATTACCATTAGCTGAGTTTGACGGCTTTTGCAAAAGAATTGACAAGAGTGGCATTTCCATGCCTTTGACCTCCAACATTTACGTTTACTAGCGGCCCTAAGGGCCGCTTGCAAGTATGCTAGGGTACATATAGTCATCACCACAATAACCTCTACGTTTTATACCTTTTTAGGGTTCTGGGCAACTGAAACCGAGTAATAAATGACTTTTGACTCTTCTGATTGTGAGAATCCTCTTTGCTGATTATTCGATACCTTCTGACTCTCTTCTAAAAATTTTCTTTGGGTCAAATGTTTGCACCAATCTCAACAGAGTCACCAAGCAGTCGACTCTCAAAGCGACGATCTACACTCAGCTAAACACTCAGAAAGTACCTCAATTCCCGAAAAATTCCGGCAGCGAAAACAAGCATTGTATTCTCATGCCTTATGCGTCGCCTATAAACCACTTTTTGCAAATACGTACTGCTCCGCGCCTTCAGAGCGGTATATGTGAGAGCTGCCCCACGATCCTGGAGAAGAATACTTCAAGAAAAACTTTCCTACAGGCCTCCTACAGAGCGGTAATCTGAGAAAATAGTGCCCTTCATACCCCTACAAATGATATCGTATTCTGGGATAAGTCTGCCATACAATCCCCCCTACAAATCGAATATTGCGGGGAAGCCTTTAAGCTGCTTACAGACGGAAAAATTGCCCTATGGTCCGCCCGCGGACGGTAATTAGTCATTAGAAGGAAATGCCCTATGGGCCGCTTACAGACCCTTATTTTGACAAGACTACACTGTGGGCTACTTACAGACTGGAATTTTTAAAAAAAGATATTTTCAAAAAAGAACTGCTCATGTAGAATGATCCTATGAGCCGCTTACGGACCTTTTCCAGAAAAGGTTGCCCTATGGACGCACACAGACCGATATCAAGAAGAAATTGTCCTTCAAATCTTCAAACCAACTTTCAAAAATTGTCCTAAGAGCCGCTCAAAGTCTATTATTGCAAGAAGCAGTCGCTCGCCCTATGTGTAGCACAAGCTGGTATTTTGAAACAACAGAAGCTATGAGCTGCTTGAGACATATCTTTACGTAACTACCATCGATATATTAGAGAATATGACTGCCCTATGCGCCGCTGCAGAGTGGTAGTTATAGAAAGAAAATGCCCTATAGGCCACTAACAGACCGATGTTTTGAGAAGTTACTCACAGTCCCCTACAGACCGAGGTTTACAAGAACCCCCTTCCTCCGTCGTTCCTCTCCCAACAAACCCTACTGGAGAAAGAACCGTGCTGAGACTGCCCTAACAACGGAAGTGTCAGAAGTCGCAGTGGCCTTTTGACATGGGATGGGTACCATCTTAAGCAGCTTTAAATGCTGATTCCAAAACAAACTTTCTTAGCTGCAGAACTGATCTGGGTCGCGAGTTATGGGCATTTTAAACATTAAATTTTACACTGTTTGAAGTACTCTGTGATCACGGAAACCTTTCAATTGCTTGTTTAAGCACCACAGCATGACTTTGATGAAGGCGTAGGATTACGTTAAACATTGTTGGACTGTTTCATCTATGTTTGAGCCCGAAAAAATGTTCGCTTTAATTTTTGGCTATTCTCAGCGTTGTAAATTTCCCGCAAGTAAATTCAATAACTCTCGTCCTAGATTAGTTCTGCAGCTAAGAAAGGCTGCTTTGGAATCAGCATTTCAAGCTGCTTCAGATGATACTTATTTCATGTCAAAAGGCCACTGCGAGTTCTGACACTTCCCTTGTAAGACCGATATTCTGAGGCTATCTTACCCTCCCCCCTCTTCCTTCCCCCACAGACCGATAATTACAGGAAGCCCTGCCCTATGGGGGATCAGCAGATATTCCAGATTACAGATCTACAGCCCCTACAAACTGTATTGCCCTACGAGGCACTCACGTATAATCTGCTCTATGGACAGCCAAAGACCGAAGTCTTGAGAAAGAAGCTGCCAGCTACTTATTGTTAGAGGCCTACACAATGGTATTTTGAGGAGGAACCGCCCTTGGAACCTATATACAACCAATATTTTGTGATAAAACTGCTCTATGGGCCACCTACAAACCATAATTTGAGAAAGGACTGCCTTATGGGATTTTACAGACCAATATTTCAAAAAAAATTGCTCTATGTGCCGCCGCAAATCGATAATTTCTAGGAGCGGCCGAGCGGGAAGGGGGGGGGGGGCTTGCCAACGATAATTTGTAAAGAATCGCTCCATGGGCCTCTTGCAGCATTTTGGGAAATAACCGCTCTATGGGCGCTCACAGACCAATATATGAAGAACTGAGCTGGAAACCCTCAAACCAATATCTCGAAAAAAATTGCAGCCGTTCAAAGACCGATATTTGAGAAAGAGCGCTTTCCGAGTCCCTTATGAATTAGTCTTCTGAGAGAGAAAAAATAATTAGAACAGATTACAGTATATCTACGCCTCATACAAACCAACTTTCACAAGTAACTCCTCTACGCGCCGCACACAGACCGACAATTTTAGGAGGTGCCCTAGTCGCTTATACATCAGCATTTTGAGAAACAAGTACGAGCCTAAAAAGTGCCTGATGAGAAGCTTATGGAACGATAATTGTATGACGATTCTACGAGCCCTTCCGCTCCTCTTCAAATTCATATCTGAAAAAAAGTGCATTATGGTCCACCTTTAGAACTATAAATATGAAAATGAAATGTTCCCCTTGCGGACCGATACTTTGAGAAGGAACCACCCTACAAATAACCGCTAACTGGATACTTGTCGAAAAAGCTCCTCAGGGGAGCTTACAGATCAATATTTTTAGTAGAACTGCCTTACTGGCACCTACAAATCAAGAAAGAGCCCTATGAACAGATTAAGCATTGAAAGATATGCCCAATGAACAGCGAACAGACTGGAGTTGTGAGAAATGATTGCAGAGACCTATAACAATAGCCTTACGACTTACCAACTTATTTCAAGAACAGAGAACTGTCTTCATCAATTCTCACCAACTATGCCAGCTATGAACTTTAACTAATTATGGGCAGCCAAGAACTTAAGCAAGAAAATGAAAATGTGAGCAGTCGAAGGGGTAAACGTTGAGGAACTATTAAAGCATGTCTACGCTAGACAGCGAGTTCCGAATCATTCATACCGGCAGAGTTCAAACTTGCGAAAGAAGGGGGGGGGTACTGTTAGCAACCTTACGAGAGTGTCGGCCCCTTCCCAACTATAGCCTTTTTGCACTTAAGAACCGCACCCCTTTTGGACGCCTTCCTCGAGGAGACACGATATTTACCACCCCCTGTACCCCTACGAAAACACGCTAGCCTTGTAGACAATCTGCACCCTCCGCACCCTCGGCAATCACTCGCCTCAGTCCGCAACTTGTCAACATGTAAGTGCAAAACCTTGCCATTCTTTATTATAGAATGATATTAGGTTGTCCCATAATTATTTACCGTTTTTACTTCGACGGTCGGCAAAAGCCGTCTTTTTGTATTTTCCCTCCAAGTGATGTCGCTTGATTGACCATTCGATAGGGCAAAGCAAGCTCTACAAGATGGCTATCAAGAGTCTGCACAAATCGTAATCCACGTAAAGTTATGAGCTGAAATATGATAGCAGTCAAAAACGAATTTGACTGTCAAAAGTCGTATCTCCGCCCCAAAAAAATCTAAAAAATTCTTTTTTAGCTTAGCATGTGCTTGACACATCGAACATTCAATCATACAACTTTCGTATTTTTTCCATGGCTAGAAATAAAGAAAAAATTGAGTGGAGTAAAATGGTAAACTCCGCCCCCATTTCACAAAAAATGCCAATTGAGCACACTGTTGCATTTTTAGCCCACCTTTGAGCTTTAAGAATACAAAGTAACCTAGCTGCAGCTTGGTTTGGCCCAGCATCGAGCCGAACAGGCTCTGCATTGCCAAATTTGCACTTTGCTGCAGATTTCTTAGCGAAATAACGGCCTTTAACGGCTCATGACTTTCCACATAGGCTTTGAGCAGATATGGTATACAGACTAGAAGTCAGGTTCTATGCTGCATATAATGGTGTGCAGCTTGTCTGGAGTGGTTACGTGGAATTCTGACTATTCGTTTCCCCCTCCCCCCCCCCCCCCCGTATATTCATAGAAAAGGAAGCGAATGAATAGACGCATTTACGTACATTACGGACAGACATTACAGCAATACAGCAAATACTAGGTTGCTGCTGAAATCAGCGTCCAGCCACCTGTCTTTGTACCATAATTTGCTAACGACTTGCCACAATTTGCAGGGTTTTGCGCGGGGACTCAACACCTGGGCGGTGGGTCCGCACGTATTGGCATGCAACCCGATGGGAGTCGTTCGCCAGTACGGTAGGCAGGCTTTGGTTCGGGGGGAAAACTTAGCTGCGAGTGCACCATTTGCGCTGCCGCTTGGGTTAGTTAGGCCAAAATCGTTTCTCCAGGTGCGATATCCATGTGTTCAAATCTGCATTGTTCAACGAAAAATAAGCAAGATCAGATTAGATGTAATGTTGCTGCGCCGGAAATCAGTCTGTCGAAATATGGAATTGGATAGCTTTTCGTTTTTTTGTAGTGCTTAAACATAATGGTAGCTTACATGAGATTTTTGGATATGTTCCGAGCACAGGTAATCTTTATTGATAGATAACAAACTAAGAAGATCAAAAGCTACATAATTATTATGGCACGAACGAAATGGAAAACAGAAAAACAAGTTGCTGCAATCTAAATGTCATTAGCCTGTAAACAATCAAATTTTTCTAGTCAAACACAAGATTCAAAGATTGCTGATTCTGTCCTTCTGCATTTTTCACAACGCATTTGTATTTAGCCTCGTCTTCCTTTTGTGGTCCGTAAATTTCCAAGAGAAACTGGTAGCCTTCCTTATCCTGAAAAAATTATGGCTGAGGTTGCAATCGCAAATTGAATAAGCTATCCTATTACCTTGTCGTCTTTCTTTACAACAGATTTGATGCGATCGGAGAATTTGACAGGTTTATCATCCTGGAAAAGTTCTATTGAAGCTTGTTCAGACAGGTTCTGTGAGGAGCAATGTCTGTCTGCGTAAAAAATAAGAAGTTGATTTTGCAAATGATGCTGGCTGTCACGTTTGAGTAAAGTCTCGCAAGTAATCTCAAAAAGGTTCCATTTGAAATGCGATTCTGAACACCGTTTCCAGCTGCTATCTGTGTCTGCTGAATGCTTTTTTGGAAGAAGTCATAAACTTCATCAGGCGTAATTTCAAGACCCTTGGTCTAATAGGACTAATAAATGCAGTTTTTTGATTGTTAACACGCAAAGCAATATTCGCAATGAGCATTGAACCCCATCGATGGCTTAAAGATTTTCGCAATCCTTTTTGCGAAAACTATAAATACTAGAAACGCTTCAAATTATTATATTCGTTAAGCAGATGAAGTTGTATTCTCAACATTTCTATATACCAGCACTCACTTTAAAGGAGTCCTCAAAAGCAGCATCCAGGCAAATCTATGCTCCCCCCCATTAGTATCTAATCTGCAAGAAGACCTTAGAAGCACCGTCCACACAAATTTTCGATTTCCTTGTTTTTGTCGCGTGGGGGCCTTTTCATGTCCCTTATGCCGATTACCAAGTCGAGAATCCGCGAAAACCCCACAATTCCCGTTTCGGAGAACCCGCGGGTTGTCAGGGTAAGCGTTGGGTGGTTAGCAGGCGCGGATGGGCGGGCACTACTGGAGGGGGTTGTGCCGACTTGGGTCCTCGTGCCTATTTGTTATTTCGGAGCAATTTTCTCGCTTCCTAAGCGACATTTTGAGCCGCGTCCTGGACGGCCACGTCCGCCTTAGAAAACTACGCTCATTCAGGTATTGAATGTCGCCTGTGCCTTGAGGTTAGGGCTCCCAGAAATCGGGTTTCAAACCAGTGCCGCAGAAAAGGCTCTAGAATGACAAAACGAAGACGAAGATTTGAGTGGATGCTGCCTACCACACTTTTTTAATCAAAACACGCCTTCTTTGCTTTGCTTTCATTTTTCATGAAACAAGTGATGAATCTTACCTTGAACCACTCTGCTTTCATCTCCAAATGTGATTTTGCCCGTACTTTGATAACAATCACATTTCCATTGTCCCTTTGAACAATATGAGGCTTGTCATGGAAGTCGGGTGCATCTGCAATATTACAGTAAGGGGATATGTGAGCATGCTGGTCACTCCATCGGACTTATTTTTGTCCATCCTGAATAGGTGCGGACTCTGTTTTTGGGTCAAAAAGCAAAGGAGATATCGTAAAATCGTCTATTCATAACAATCGGCCATGAAACTACCCACTTGCTTTGAGTTAGACATTTATACCACTGACAAAATGATCGTTAGCGCCAAAATTGAAATGTTGTGCAAAAATCAACAAATAGCTTTTACAGTAGGAACGATCATCAGAATTTGGTTTACATATTCCAACTATTTCGTAAAAAGTGTAAATCCAATCTATAAAATCAAAACTATAGTGAATAAGTCAATAAATTCCCTGAACGAATCGATAAAGAAAATGTATGTTCATTGCCTCTGGTAAGGCTAGATCTTCATGGAGGATATACTTTCTTGCATTTCCTGCCTTTATTTACTTCTTAAATGGTCAAAAATTTCTCCTTAAAGAGACCTAAAAGCGTTGCACGCTTAATTTTAGACTCTAAAGTTCGTTCTCCATTTAAGCAAGCTTTCTTTACATAGACTCTTCGAATCTGCTCTCACTTATCGCTGCTCAAAACTGCTTTTCACTTCAATTTTTGTTGCTTGAATAATTCCTAATCGAAATATTATAGGAGATGAGGAACGAATACGACCATGAACTTCGGGGAAGTGACTTGATAAAATGCATAAAAACCGAGCGAATCTTCGTTTCAAACAGACAAGAAGACGATTTGTGCTGAGCAGCAACTGTGTGATTTATCTTAATCAATAATAGTTGAGCGATTACATTTTAGCTTACTATTACCTGTAGCACGTTCTGCTCAATATGTACCTTGCCAGGTGGTCATCTGCTTTTTTCCACAGTTCAATGTATTTATGAATATGTGCATTCATGCGCTCGGTTAGCGAAATTTGAAGTAGTGGATATAAATCGTGCGCTTTTGAACAGCGAATAACTGAGGAAAGTCCTAAGGGGATACGATCGTCCATTCAGAAGGTTTATTTCAGAATGTCAAATTGTAACTCACTTCCGGCAGTGACATTGAAGGTAGCAGAGTTCTCTCCATCCGCTGAGTAGAAAACTGCTTTGTATTCTCCAGCAAGAGGCTTGTCGAAGTCCTGGAATATATTGAATTTTCACTCGACGCAATTTCTTCAGATATTCCGCTGAGAATAATGGAAATCAGGATTTTTTCTGATTTTGTTTTTGAGTTACGCTTACTGCCCGACAATGAGTCGCGAAATCTTTGGAAGTAGCCTACTTAGCTTACGAAGTCGAGATTGTGACTCTTCTGATAAAATAATTATTAAGAATTTCCAAAAAACATATCAACATATTTATAAAAACATATTAAACCATGTGAAAAGTTCTTTAAGGGGCGTGGCTACTCTTGGCGCAGAAACTCGGGAAGCATCCCAAGAATTTTTTCGAAGGGCGTCTCCGTCATCCCCTTCCCGGAGAAAGTTGCTCGAACTGTCAATGCTAGTTACTATAGATGACTTCATTATTATCATTTTTTCTCTTTTTTATAAATATCTAAGCAATTTGTGCGATGTAGAACCAACCTTGATTTCGCAAGTCAATTTCTTCCTATTTCCTCCCTCATCTGAGTGGCTGAAGATGTAGCATTCATTCTGTTCGAGCTCTTTTCCTCCAAGCATCCATTTCGTTTTTGCAGGATCAGCACCAGTTACGACCACCTGGAATTACAAGTTCTCAAAAAAGTCAATTCATCTTTTGTTCGAAAAGTCTCAATACCAACTGCATTTAACACATTCACAAGACCGATTTTTCGAACTGCCATCTCGGACCAGAGCACATTTCGCAATTTCGAGTTTGCGCAATATTTTCTGGTCACTTATGAGTCCTATGGTCTGAAGCTTTAATCTTCTGGGAAGTATGGTAAGGAGTGTATATAGAAATTTACTTAATTTGCCCAAAGAGTTTCCTCGTAAACTAACGAAATCAAAAACTTCAGAAGGCATATGACCCACCGATGGGTCGTATTGTCCGAAATGGCAAAACACGTACGACCCACCCGTGGGTCGTATTGTCTTATATGTGTTAAATTCGTTTCTTCGCTCTACGTACGTTATAGGATATGAGTTACCATCAATAACACTACGATTCTGAAGTATTTCGTTTCTTAAATAACCATGAGACAGCAGTAAACCATGTTCTCTTGCACTAACCTTAATTCTTTCCCCCGCATAAGGTATTTCAAATGTGCAATCAAATTTACATAATAGAAGAACAGCCCTAGTTACCATTACTTCTGTTTTCCATTAAAAGGTTCTAATATGTGTGAACGAGCTTTCGCAGTCTATTCTAGAGTACCCTATTTTCAGGTGTATAAGCCGCACCCTTTTTGCTCTAAACGCGAGCAGACCCAGGCGTGCCGCCGCGCATATGTCTCGCGAAGCGGTCGCCTTATCGCATACTGTTCTCACTTAAAGGCAGCGGACAGGCAAAATGGACCCCTGTCAGATTTTGGTAGTTTCGGGTAGTGGACCCCCCAAGTACACCGTAGCCCCAACCCCACATTCCAATTCATGCGCTAAGTCCTGAAAAAAGCGCTTCAAAACTCCACCAGCCCCGCCCACTTGCATTGAGTGGGCGTTATTGGTGGAAATTTGATGCGCTTTTTTCAGGACTTAGCGCATCAATTGGAAGTTGGGGTTGGGGCTACGGTGTACTTGGGGGGTCCACTACCCGAAACTACCAAAATCTGACAGGGGTCCATTTTGCCTGTCCACTGCCTTTAACGCGCTCCATGATGACAGTCAGTCTTTCGGCGTGTTCGCCTTTAGAGCGAAAAGTGTGCGGCTTATACACCTGAAAATAGGGTACTAAGGACAGGGCTCGGCATAGGTGGCTTGCAAAGCAAGCTGGATATCGTTTTTGGGGGAAAAGGCAAAGGGTATATCGTTTTTGCGGAAGAGCATAACACTGTCTTTCGATCTGCTGCCGGCACGCTGCCGGCATGCCGCCAGCAAATAAACAAAGGGTTTGTTTACAGCGAAGTGAAGATGAAATGGCACCAAAATAAGTGTGTAGATGGGCAATGGGGAGTTGGGACTATGTATGAAAAATTATGAAAAAATTATGTGAACTAAGGGCATGGCAAACTTTTTTCGAGGCTAGGTGGCTTTCAAGCCACCTGGATAGCCACCTGAGGTGGCTTAGCGCAAATAAAGTCATATAATTCCTATTCTTCACATAATTTTTTCAAATTTTTTACATAAAATTAATCTACATCTAATACTCTACAAAACAGCTCTTGCACATCCCCAAACCTTCTACTCCCCGTCTAGTTATAGCCCTTCTAATTATCTGGATGGAAACGGCAAAGCTGCTCCAAGCTCGCGGTTGTGCGCGGCGGACACAGCATGCCGCCAACCCAGAGAATACAAACAATTGCTAGTTCTTCTTGCCTATTTATTGTCTGTCTTGTATTCTGTTTCATCCTTTTTGTTTTCAAGTTTGATTTGTTCGTTAGCGGTCAAGGGGGATGTCGTACTTTTGTGGCGAAGTCAAGGGGGACTTCGTTTTTTGCATTTTCAACTAGCCACCTCGTGCCGAGCCCTGACTAAGGACAATCGTCTACATTGCCTAAGCAGATCGAACAGCGGCAGAATTCGAACCCATTTTCTTTTGAGGCTGGCTAAAGATATCTAAATATTTGGAACTTCACCACCGCTGAAGTATTATATATACACTAAAAAATACAAATAATCTACAATGTGCAAATCATATTGATTCTTATTATTCTTTGTTGCTCCAATACATTTTCAGATGCAAAGGGCAGCATTGAGTGGCTGCTTTTCCTAACTACTAACTTCTTTTCTATATCGGCTATCTTCTGCTGATCCAACCTACGCCATTACAGTATGTTTTGATACACAAATCCATAATGATCCTCCATAATATATTATTGACATACTTTTTGTATTTACTCACCTCCAAGAATACTGAGCCATTTTCAGTAGAGCGGATTTTGGGCTCACCGTAAATGGCTGGTGGAGGCATACCTAAAATACAAAACTAATTGGGGCAGTTGAGAGAAAATGATAAGGTGTGTTCTCGTAAACAATGCAGAATAGACATTTATATACAGTACCATTAGACAACAACAAATATGCGCTCGGATAAAATGTTGTTAGTCATACCAAAACCGAATGCATATCCCTAGAACCAAAATTAAAAGCCTTTGGAGAAATGGAAAAGATATAGGGGGGGGGGCTGTAAAATACTTCTATGATTTTTCCTCCTGGTTTTTATGCTCCATTCTTATGATTATAATTTATACCAAAAATTTTTATAAGCCAACTCTGAGTCATTGGAAAAGAAGCTGTCAGGCAAAGAATGCCGACATATTTCATGCTGAAAATGAAGGCTAGAATTGTCTTACACAAATCATATTTATATGACGGGAAGGTAAGCTGACGAAAGTAAACCCAGGCAGAAGAATTTTTCACGGGCGGAGGCGGATTGAGCGAGAAAAGTCAAACAGAAAATCATAAAAATTACAACAAGCTCAGCTACTTTACGTCACAAACTGTTGTGACCTATCACATATGAACGAGTAATATTTTGATAAAATATTCAAAAGCTCAATGATTTTTACGTTCAAGAAACTCAAGTAAAAGATTTTATCTACATGTGCAATTGCACTACACGCAATTTATATTTGTCTTGAGAGTCAATTGCTTTGCAGAAAGATGACAAAGGAAAAGAAAAAGTGGTAAAATTGCGAGACATTGCGCACGTCAGCAGCTTAGTGCTGTAATAATTTTCTTTAAGAAATCACTTTTAGCATTTTACATTTGGCCGTTTTGCCAGGGTATTTCGTGGAGGAAAAATTTGTCGCACTTCAAGATTCAAGGAAAGGTGATGTAGTACTGCAGGTTTTGCGGTTTTATGAAGATTTCTAATGAAAAAGCGAAAAATTGAGACATTTGTTGCCATGCCTGTTTTGAAAGAATTACTGTAATTCTGATTAAACTTAACTTCAAGTAAACTCAAGCCAACGCAAAAATCATCGCAAACGAATCTGATCTACTTTTTGACCTACCTTGGTTAGATTTTTTGCTGCAACCTGTTAGATACAAAGAATAACAAAGGACAAATGTATGTTTGACCGAGACGAGACGTTATCTGTGTGGGGGAGCTGAGGGTCTGCGCAATCTGACGAGTTTACAAAGCTCTTCATAACATCCCACGTAACACAACTTCAAGGGTTATGAATGCTATACAACGAATTTACGGCCAACAAGGCACGTCTTGTTCGATGATGAGAGAAGAGAGTTTTGGGCGGAGGAATGACGAATTCTGAGAAGAGGAGTGAAGAAATAATGATGCATGGGGTATACATAAGGCTTACTAAGGTTCTGTATTGGTCAGAGTAACCTCACAGCGGTAGAAATCTCTTGCTACTCGGACCTTACATTCTTTACAAGCCCATTACATATGCAAAATTTCGTCACAAGCTCTTGAAGTGTTGAAAAACGAACAGCTGTCCAGCAATCAATCAAACAACTTTGCGGAGGAGTAACAAAGAATTGTAAAGAAAGCCGACTCATCAAGTAGAACGAGATCCGTGAGAGAGGAAAGAAACTCTTGCAAATGACTTGAAGAACAGGCCATTTTGTCTATTGGATTAATGTACGGATACGCAAAGAGCAGCTCGAAAAGCAATGATTATTCACTGGGGCTGACGAGGTGGATGGGGAGGTGGAGAGTGGGCGCGGACGAGTTGTCTTGCTAATCAGATCTTCTAATCGCAACCTTTACTACTGTATTGTTGCACTATAACTAGATGCCATACTGTCTGTCATATGATTCCCCCCAAATCATATTTTTGTAAAAAAAAAATTCAAATCGTATTCGCAGACATTCCAACGAAAAATAAAGGGATATGTAGGTTATAGAGGCGTTTGGCCAATGAAAGATGATAGCATTGTGTAAATAGTAACTACTCTTAGGTGTTGATTTATCGCGGTTTTTTCAGCCCGAATTGCGTCTGCCTGGCATATCTTCAGAATGAATAAACATACGGAAGAATAAAGTTGGGGTTTTGGTAATTCCAGTAGTCTTGCAGGTAGTCCTCAAAGAAGTTGAGTTGTTCAGCAAAAAATTTTGTGACGTTGGAACCCTGAATTAACAGTTATCTGAACCAAAAGACAGGTCTCAAGTGTTTCCTCAGGCAAGTTTAAAACTAGCTTTTAATCTCCTACTTCGATGAAGACAAAATTAAGACAAACACAAACTGACAAAAGCTGAAGAGCCCATTTGCTATTGTTGGGCTTACATCTCTTGCTGCTTATAGTTTATTCCAGTTATGTTCATCAAATCCATCCAATTAGCTTGGAGAAATCAACCATCAAAAATTTCCATGAAATCTTTCTATCATAAGTGTCCTTTATTTCGCCCAATTTTCAGAATGCAGAAAAAAGAACCCGTGAAAACTCCGATCATGTAAAAATATAACACCTTCAATAAGGTATTTTTATTGTGCTTCATTCTCAGGGCTTGTCATCGCTATGAGAAATCTTGAGAAATACTGACTATTATTAGCAACTACTTACCTTATTGCTGCCTCCCATGTTCTATAGCTACCGTATCCATTCTGCCATTTTTACAGTAAACTGGATAACTTTCAGCTTTATGTTATGTGGTTTCATAAGGTCAAGTCAATTATTTCTACGCATTACACAGGCCTTTGAATTTTCTGAAGAACAGGCTTGAAGAGTACTTTGAATTAGATTAATTGTTTGACTTCATCGTATCGTCTAAGTGGTCATGAGCTGGTTTAACGCGGAATCAGTTCTTTTTTCATCAAGAAAAAAAAGTTAAAACACTTGCTCAAGTAATATCAAGGTATGATCAAGGTGCCTTATTGCTTTTTCTAGATGCAAAGAATAAAATGAATATTGTCAGACTAACATAGACCATTTTTTTCCTGAATAAAAAAAGCAACTGGATTCTTCGCAGGGGTACTGGCAAGTGGCCTTTGGCTCGAGGAATTTGCAGAGTCATACGACCTTTCAACTCTTCACGGCATTTCATTCTGAAAGGGGAGGAATTCAAGGAATGTAATATAAGTATGGTTAGAAAGCTACCAGAGCTTTCCGAAAGAATTTCCAGTAATGATTTTATAAATGTTATCAGATTTTAGGAGCTTTCATGCAGTGAGGTGGTGGACATCTATGACGCATTCGTTAAGACCACAATAGTGTTGAAAGCCAGGATAAAGTAAGCGCCTATAGAATTGCAGCATTGACAGACGTGTATTATTTACACTGGCTAAGAAAAGATGGGAAGTGAAAGTGCAAAGTTGATGGCAATTTAATTATCTCTCGCAAATATTAAACGTGACAAAAAACTTTTTGACTCTTGATTTTTCGCCAAAAGAGGAAAATAAAGGCCAGCTTCGAGGTTAGAAGAATCAAAATTGAGCAGTTATGATTTGGATATGTTGGATTGACCGGTCGATGTTTGTGAAGAGGATTCAACTGGCGATATCCCTCGAGCGACTAACGAGCCGTACACTGAAAAGATAAAAACTTCTTGCTGTGCCGTTGTAAAGCGTGAGCGTCGCAGCTTATGTGCCACTGTTTATCAAACTTCTACGAAAATCTCGACATACGCTGGAAATTCAATCTATAGAGATTCAAGCTTAAATCCAATAGATTAGCTCTATCGCTGATGCTTCGGTCTAAAAGAACAGCCAAAATTTCATCATTACACAGCAAGCTCGGTCTAGGAATAGGTTTTACAATCGAGCACTCAGGTGTGACTTATTTATTACGGGCCACACCCCCCGTTAATTTACCCACCTGTTACCACTGGCTCCTCTAACAATGCTTACCTTTATGATTATCGGGGGACATTAAAGCATTTGCAACAAATATTCAACTTTTCGAAATGGAAGCGACACATACGAATATTATCCAAATGATCATGTAAATTAACATCACTGCGGCAGTTTTATGCTTTTTTTTCAAGATAAAATAAACAAAATATATTTTTGGACTGAAGTCAGAGCTCGGCACGAGCTTGCACCAGGGAAATTTCAGAACGAAGTCTCTCTTGATCTTGAGAATTTCGTACGAAGTCCCGTTTGATCCTAAACCCTAAACGTGAAAAAGCCTAAAAAAACGAGACGTCGACTTAAAAAAGTCGCAATTTTTGTGTCTTTTCTGCTAGAGAAACGATATCCCTTTGCTTTTTGTCCCAAAAACGATATCTAGCTGGACCGTGCTAGCTTCGAACTCTGACTGAAAACAACGTCTTGAAGTGCAATTTGTATCACGAGTAAAACTTTTGGTAAGCAAGATGTCGGAATACTGAATACTACTATACTTTGCTAATATAAAAAAGTTTCAAGTCATTTTTTTCTAACATAAAGTGAAGCCAGTTGCTGCTTTGATAGCACTTAGACGCTGCTGTCGAGCAGTCGAGCAGTTACCTACAAAGCTAAGGGATTTCATTTGAAGAATCCTTGGCCATCTACGTCTCTCAAAGTCAGTAAGATAAGCTAGCCATTACCTAAGCGGGATGTAAGGCCATGTATTTCATCCGTATCTAATTGTAAGAAATCCAAACCTGGACTCTAGTCTAAACCGTACTTCAATCCTATTCAAGACGCTGCTTGGTTCTCTAGCGAAAATTACGGCATGGTCAGGGTTCGAGTTCAGAAAAAGAGTTTTGGCCATGGATAAATCATAGGAGCTGCCGAGTAATGCTTCATCAAAGGTTCTAAAACAGTTCTCGTCAAATGTTCAAGCACCCAGGCTTGCCTGGATACTGCGTTTGACCCACCGCAAGCTGGACCGCAACCTCAAAACAATTCTTTGAAATTCCTTTTTTTTCGGAATCGTTGCAAATGAGATGCGTTTCCAAAAGAGAGCTTCGCAAAATTTGAGTTCATTGTTAAATATCCAGTTGAGGAAGCATTCTGCTATGAATGCAATGCCAAATAATTTCTGCAAGATCTTGTCGTATTCAGCGGGTTTAGAGAGGAAGAATTAAAGAGATTCTTAGACCCAATGTCGACATCTTTCATAGCTCAGTTCTCAAATAGTATTCCGCACACAATACTAATCAGTTGGCAAGCATCAGTAATCATTGCCGTATCAACTAGATGAAAAAGTCACAATGACACCTTAATTTCCTCAAAAATATGTATCTTATCTTGTATGTCGCTGTTAGTAAGTTTAGAAAACGCAGTTGCATGCTTTCTATTGATGAAGATGCATAACCAGAATGAGATCCGAAGGTCAATGAAATGAGCGTTATGGCCATACATGTGGCACAATCATCTGCTCTCAAGTTTGTTTTTCTTCTTCTTTACTTTTCTTCCAGGAAATGTATGTGCTTGTAAGTTTCTTGAAAAAACACCTAGTGATTAAACACAGCTTGTTACATAGTGTAATGGTGAAGCAAATACACTCTAGAACTTGGGCGATGTCTCTTTAGGCTGTGCATATTTTTCTGAAAAGAATCTTTGGAACTCTAACATTGGTGAAAAAACTTTGTGCATTGCATACTATTTCATGCTCAAATCGACAAAGGACAATGAGGGTTAGAAAAGCGCAGGTTTTCGCTGACCATGTGGTTTTATAACGTATACAACGACTTGGACATCGATGCTAAAAGTCTATGGCAATTGTAACATCCTTCTCAGCTATCAAGTTTCACGTGCTGTAAATTTACGTTTACCTGCCGTCTGAACTTTTCATTCTTTTCCGGGGACGTTCTGAAGAATGGGTTGAGTAAAGAAGGGGTTCTAAGGCTTTCTTGCCTATAAAGTATCAAGGCATACTTGGATACCTGGTATTTTTTGAAATTGAGTGGGTTGTTTCAGCTAACAAGGGAAGTGTCAAACGTCGCAGTGGCCTTTTGATATGAGTCAGGTATCATCTGAAGCAGCTTGAAACGCTGATTCTAAAACAGTTTTCCCTAGCTGCAGAACGATTCTGAGTCCAAAGTTATGGGCATTTTAATCATCTAATTTTACACTGTTCAAAGTACTCTGTAATCATGGAAATCTTTCAAGTGCTTGTTTAGACATTACAGCATAACACTGAGGAAGGAGTTGAATTACATCAAGTTGATAAACTTTTTCATCTATATTTAAGCCAAAAATGTATGGGCTTTGATGGCTTTGGCTATCTCAACATTGTGAATTTTCGGCAAATTAAATTCATTAAGTCCCGACCCAGATTTGTTCTGCAGCTAAAATAGGCTGTTTTGGAATCAGCATTTCAATCTCTTTCAGATGATACCTATCTCATATCGAAAGGCCACTGCGACTTCAAACACTTCCCCTGTAAGATACTGACGAAGCGGAAACTCATACGAAATCGTGGACTAGAGCAATTCTCGCTCAGCCCATAAATTTTGTGCGCGGACCAATCACGTCCTCGTTTACGGTAAGGTATAAAATACGGTTTGGGCTAGAGTTGAGAGTCGAGTTTCTCAGTCACCAAGGGATCATATGAACTGCCGTTAGGACAGGAGCCTAATCAGGTTCTTCATATACATTTCACATCGAAAACTATCTAAATTTTCTTTGAATTTTGCTTTCAAAAAGGTTTCGCAATCTCAAGACGCTTGCATCTGAACAGGGAACGATACTTGGTACCCCGGCCATTCATAATGGTTTGTATATCAAAAAATGCGCTTTTTAGTGCTTGTTCAAATACTGTTTTCCATATCTGCGAAACGAGAACTTAGATGGAGTTATATTTATTTTTTCAAAGATGAATTGCGCTACTGCGGAGGGTGAAATCCGTTGATAAAAATTTTGCTTTCCTCTTCAAATGCTAAATATGATTTAGATAGGTATAAATACAACGTTACACCCTTCAAGATTCTCCTCAGTAGCTTCAAACGGTGAAATAGATCAAATTGGGTGATTTTAACTATTAGGTTGTAACAGAGTTAATGCAGGTTTTGAATTCCAACCGCAATAAGTCATACACTTTTCATTTTTAAGTAGGTTGCAAAATACCATCCGATAGAGCAAAGCAATCTCTACAAGATGGCAGTCTTGCTTTAGCAACAACTCTGATCCACCACGAGTTTCGAGCCTAAAACTAAAAAGATTCAACTGTCCGAAAAATTGAGAAAAATCGTAATTTAGTTCGTAAAAAACCTACAAAAATTCTAACTTGCTCATGTAAACACAATCCACATAGGGCATCTATATACGCCGTTGCCGTATTTTTTTCTCTGTTAAAAATCAAGAAAACGGAAATTTTCGTGCATTTGCCAAAGTGATGCTGTGCCGTTCCCACATAAGTAGTTGTATACTACAAACCTGTGGAAGTATAAACGTGAGTTTCCAGCTCTCTACAAGCTTTAGTTCTCGAAAAATGTTGAATACAGTTTTCGCTAGTCATGTGGTCCAAGCTAAAATTCAAATTTCTCGAGAACTAAAGCTTGTAGAGAGCTGAAAATTTACGTTTGTACTTCTACAGATTTGTAGTATACAACTACTTATGTGGGAACGGCACAGCAACACTTTGGCAAATGCAAGAAAATTTCCGTTTTCTTGATTTCTAACAGAGAAAAAATACGGCAACGGCGTGTATAGATGCCTTTTATGAATTGTGCTTACGTGAGCATGTTAGAATTTTTGTAGGTTTTTTATGAACTGAGTTACGATTTTTCTCAATTTTTCGAACAATTGAATTTTTTACTTTCCGGCTCGAAACTCGTGGTGGATCAGAGTTGTTGCTAAAGCAAGATTGCCACCTTGTAGAGGTTGCTTTGCTCTATCAAATGGTATTTTGCAACCTACTTAAAAATGAGAACTTTATGACTTATTGAGGTTGGAATTCAAAACCTGCATTAATTCTGTTACAACCTAATACCTATAAGTAGGCAGGTTTTCTACGAAAAAAATTCATAACTGCCTTCATATGATCGTTTCGCAGATTTCGAGCACAGATTTAAAATCAGCGTTTTGAGGTGCCTTATGGTATACATCGCATTCCAAATGGCCGGGGTCACCAAGTATCCTTTCCTCGTGAGTCACCTTTGCGAAGCTGCTTGTGTTAATGAGAGTCATCAATGCTTCTGATAATTATTTATGATCTGTTTCATAGCCATACGAAAGAATTCGATGGAATGCAATGGCTAAACGAACAATGGCAGGCAACTACCTTAGCCCAACATTATTCTGCTTAGAAAAAACTCAAGTAGTGACGTCATATAAAGTTTTTTTTCGAAATCATAGCAATAACCACCTAGACTGCAAGAGATTTCAATGAGTGACCGTTCCTTATCTTCACTGTTGCTGTATTGGCACAAGTGATAAGACAGTCGGAGTTTTGCACTACATTCTGCTACATCATGAACTACCAAGGATATCTTCTAATTTTGATTTTTTGCCTGGCCAAGGTTGTTTGTACTACTTTTATACACTTTCGCATTTGTAACCAAGTTTAGGCGAACACAGATGATTTTGTCTTCACGAATCCTGGATATCCCAAGCCATATAAAGGAACAATAGATAGGTGTGTAGCCAATACTAATGTTTTCAACTTCTTCATCAGTTGTTAATAGTTATTTCATTCAAGATATCGCTATCAACACGATGTAGACAGAGGAAAAGGAGTTGCTGTTTTATTTTATCAATTCTTAGCGAATGCTGGCGATTGCGTGACCGCGTGCGATGCTAATGCCAACTGTCAGAGGTAAATTGTGGGCCCTTTTGCACCCTTACATGTTCTACCGTACCCTCACAGTCCTTGAGCATTGAGGCCGTCCTTGCAAAAAAAGTGACATCTTTTAGAATCATTTTGTTTCAAGTTGCTGTTAATTTCATCACGGCTACAAAAAGTCTTAGCCGTTGAGCACATTAAATCATAAATAATTACAGTCCAAACATCATCGCACAATCTGAAAAGAAGGAAACAAAGTATTCTCGAATATACGATCTTCCCAAAATCCAAACTGTAGGTGTGTTTAGGATGAAAACCTGAGTCTAATAAACTTCAGCCCAGGCCGTTCTCGAGCAGACCAATCGGCGTCCTCGGTGCGGTAGATTATGGTTTGGGCCTCACTTCAAAGCTGATTTCTGGGCCACGAATGAATCGTATAAGCTGACAATTGAAAATGGATTACCCATGGCCTTCTAATCACTTCCTAACAAACAAAGCTAAATATCCAAATTTGCGCAGAAACATTCTTTGCGTCAATCTGTGCAGTCTTGGGGCTAACAGAGCTCGAGCGATGGTAGTACTGAGACAGTGAGTGTGCGCAGTCTTGTCAAAAACGTTTACTGTATACATCGCTTCATTTCAGTAATAAATTGAGCTATGGTTTTTTTGCGTATTGCAATTCCAAACCTCGCCTCAATATTCATATTGTTTATATGTTCATCCTTCTCTCAATGTGAATCTCCTGCGCCATTGAACAGAAGCAATTTTCCAAATTTACAGTAAAAGACGTACCCTTTGTGTGTATAAGGTAGTAATATTAAATGCTTCAGCGCTTGTGGGCTACTGTAGCATACACGTACTTAAATCTACACATGGCTGCGCAGAGCGCGCACCGTGCCCCAGTGCGAATTTCTCCGGCGCGCAGGATGTTCGCTGTTGGGGCACGTAAGACATTGTGGACTTCTATTCTACGCGTACATAGGTTATATGAGTGCTGTCACTTGTCTTCCCCGGAGGTCTTCCAGATATCCACACCTCAAGTCTAACGTAAAGTGAAAATCCGTATATGCTCAGCGCTTTCTCATGGTAATTGAAGGCTCACTTGCGAAGTAGAGGTTTCTTCTAAGATTTCCCTTCGTTTACGTATTTGAGAAAGGTCCACCTTCTGCATTTACCACAGTTTCTCTATTAAGAAGCTGGAGAGAGTTCCATGAAAGTTCCCTGATAGGCGGCTAAAACTGTGTTGTAGGTGTCGTCGATTTCTGTCCTTACGAGCGAGTCTCTGCCCATAAACGTGTCGAATAGTGCCAGCTATCTACTTACTCTTAACTCCTATCCAACGTTTGATGCAAGTCCAATTGAAGACTAACGGATAGGAGTTCTAAGTTGACTTCTAACCCAGCTCAGAACTTCTTAGTTGATTTTGTCGAAAGCTAACTTAGAACTTCTGTCCAGTTCTTTTCGTTAGAAACTAAAGAAGTATTGATGCCTCACTCTATCCTGATAAAACTTTTTATTTGACTAATGTTTGAAAGAGGCATTATGAAGGAGCCCTTAAGTTTCATTGAAACCTAGGGGTCAAGTCTGTTTCATAACAGACATTCCTTGCTTGCCTGTTTTCATGAATGCATTGCTGTTTCACATCTATGTGCACCCTCCAAAGACCAGGAACGGATTGGCTTGCAGCGATCGGGCACAATCATATGATGATTGGTGACTGAAGCGAAAAAGTACTTGTTAAGCATCATAAGGCATGCATAGACGCGTGGAATTTAGAACAGTGCGCGGATCAATGGATCGAAAAATAAAGGATTTACTGAGAAATTCTCGTATTATTCATTCACTTCTTCATGGGCTTTTCCGAAACATGTAAATAGAGGCGGTCAAGCACTTTTCGTTGGCCTTGCAATTGACTTAGTAGATTCCATCAACTGTTTGTAAGCATTGACAACTTAGTTTGTAAAAACGCATGCTCTGTTGTGCTCCAAACAAAACGTGAAGAACCTGAAGCATTAGTGGACAGTATCTCCAAACTAATTTCGTCCATGGTCTTTGCAAGGCACCCATCATTGTTAAACAACAATTCTCGAAACTGATTGTGTGAAACCGCATTTACGTTTTCTTCAGATAGAGTTTGGCCTATAAGTTGGTGGTGACAAAGTGACCCATATTTGACGTTTCAACAAGCAATCCATCTGAAGGCATGAACGAGGTGGTTCTTGATCAAGAAAGTCCTGCTCCTGTTTTTTCTAAGTTGACAATTAACATCTGTGCGATGAAAAGCGAACGCATGCCAACAAAAATATCAGTGTGACTTGAAATTATGAACCTTCTTGTACGCCACACAGGTTTGTTATGGTGTTTACCTGTGTGGCTTACAAGAAAGTTCATGATTTCAATGCCCACGTTTTATAATCAGAGAAGATACTATAACATATCAGTGTGACTGTCTGACGCTCTATTAAAGGGGCAAATAGATCCGAAATGTTATTTTGCACCAAACGAGATGCAACAAACAAGCATCCGTCATCCCATAAGCACAGTACTCAACCATCGGTAAATTGTATTTGTACAAATACCATGTTATAAATGCAACCTTGCGTAGGCCACAGTGGTCACATTTCCACCATGATCAAGCAATGTAACCAATAATTCTTTGCTTATCTACTATATAGATGTGCAAAGAATCACTGATTATATTGATTCCACCGTATGCAAAGAATCCTCGGTTACATTGCCTTCACTGCATGCATAAAATCATAAAGTTCAAAGTATCTAGCGTGCTCCGGCATTGTAAACCGTGCGCGCCGGCTAATTTAGTACCGGGTCATGGGGCGCGCTTTGCGCAGCCATGTGTAGATTTAAGTACGTGTACTGTAGCATTCTGTAGGGGTACAAAGGGACCTGTACTTCTTGTCATAGCGATATCGCACATCATTTACAGCCTCTGTGGAGATGCCATGGATCACCCAAAACTGAAGAAGATGTTAATTGTGAACTCTTCAGCAATTATTACAATGCAGTCAACAGGCTCTTCCGATGGAAACTATCATTCAGGGATTTACGCAAAATCTGTCTCTTTCGGTACTGTTAATCACCCTTTAAACAGCTAAAGAAAAGCTGAATATTTTACCTAAAAATTCCCTTGAGTTAAGACCTCAAAAACAAGGAATTTGTCGTTCGTTCGAGTCTTTACATAAAGAATAAAGTCACAAAAGCGCTCACTTAGTCTTTGATTCCACAGCAAGAGCACTGCTTCGTTACTGTTTTCTTTTTTCACTTACCGTAATCGTTGTGATTTTTTCCAGACCTCAAAAAGCGAACATACTTTGACTGTAACTCTACGGTCGATCTCAGCGATGAAGAGCCGTTCTTCCTCGTCTCACAGAACTATCCGGACACCCCAACTGACTTTTCATTTTGCGAGATCACTTTTATTGCAAAAGACATGATTCGAGCAGCTATATACGATCTTGTGACATTGAATAGTGTGGTGTTCAAAGGATTGGATGCTTCAGGAAAGCCTACTGAAGTACAGCTATCGTGAGTATTCAAGTTAGATTGTATAGTAGAGTTTTTCTTATCAATCTTACATTAGGCTAGTCCCTATTTCATGCACCAAAATTTTGATAATTGAAAAAAAGAATTTTCCTCTAAGTTGCAGTCATAAAAGGGCTATTATGCCCGAAACATTGTTTGCTTTCGATTCGATTTGGGTCACTACTTGGGGAAATTTGTGCTAATTGGATGTCTATGTTCACAGTTATGATTTCTAGTTTCATCTTATAGTTTGATTCTGTATTGTACATACCCCTTCGTCATCTATAACAACATCCATGCAACTAATGAAGAACATATATAAAGTGGAAGGCTGTTCAACACATTCCTCTAACGACTTTTTCGCAAATTTTTTTGCAAGATCAAATTAATTTACAGTATTGTGGTCTTCTGTTGGCACAATAGCTTAAAAAACATTCGTAATTTAATATTTGATGAAGGCCGCCCCGCGGTATCAACAGCACTTGCGCGTAAAAAAATGACCACTGAGTGCACACTCAGATTTTGCGCTCCACTGCAGTTTTTTTACGCGCAAGCGTTGCCGGCAAAGCAAGAACATACATTAATTGTACTTTTCAGTGGTCGACATGTAACAGACGATGAACCTGTAGCTCTGTCTTTCTCCAAAACTTTACAAGTGTCCTTTGCCTTCAGCAATCATACCACCTTTTACCCGAGAGGATTTTACATTTTTGTGGACAGCTTCACGCGTAAGTAAGTCAGCGGTAGCATGACGCAAATACAAAATTTATCGCTTGCAATTTAGGGGGATCGCCTTCATCAGCAGCCTGCGTTAACGCTGGCAGTGTCACACTGAAAAATGGAGAAAGTGTGTCATTTGGAACGGCAAAGTTTGGTGTGACCGCTTACCAGCCAAATATGCAATGCTCATTTCAGTTTATAAAGGCAACACCTGGGAACTTGCTTGCCATAAGTGAGTGAAACATAATCTATAGGCGTTCATCGCACGCAAGGACAGGGCGTCACTACGGACGCTGCGGCGACTCGCTGGAAGAGCGCTCTTTCATCTCTCCGGCCGTCTGTTGTCTCTCCCATGTACGGACTATCTTACTCGGACGCAAGGGCGTCCAATCTGTGCGTGCGAAGAACCGCCCATACCTTTTCAGCATTTTAATCCTGCTAACCAATAAAATACTTTTGCATTACGAAAAAAGCAGGATGGTTCGCTACTATATATAACATTCTCCAATCAAAGTTTACTCCGAATTTTTTCAGGCATGGAATTCGAAACGGAGAAGTGTTGCGATATTATGTACGTTACAGGAATAGCTCCTCCACCTTACAATGTGAGCATATTCTTGAGCACCGTTATTTGTATTTGCGTGTCTTATTCTCTTGTAAATTCTCGAGTGTCATCATTGGTATAAGAAAGAGTTTCAAAAACTGCGTGAAGAGTTGTCAGATGATAACTTTGTTTTTTTTTTTGCGCGTCACGGATCCGCAGCAGGCACTGTGGCATCCAAAATGAAAAAATTTTTGCGATGTCTCCAATTACATCTTTTTTGTAATTTTCTTAGGCATTTCTCACTACCAAATCTTTACTTGCAACTTTCTACTCGTTGTAAACAGGCCATTCCTTTCTCTGTGGCATTACAATTTCGAACTCCCGCTTTGTACCAGGTCTTGTTAGAGCATTTAAGTGGTGAACATCTCTTAGCTTGGTCTGCAGAAATCACTTCATAAGATGCTGAATAAGACTATGTATGTGTTTACACCAAATGAGCATCCGTAGAACAATTTTTGTAACAAAAAAGTTAGATTATATACTTTTGAGAAGATCCTAACAAAGTTTTTTTCTCGCATTTGCAGAAGAAGTACGAATTCTTTTGAAGGATTTAGAAGGGCAGTACAACTTTTCAAGCTCTCCGAGAATCCTCAAGGATTAAATTCAAGTGACTATGAATCCTTTATCTCTTTTTAAATCATTTTAGCTTTACAACTATCAAGGCTATATGCAACGCACATTTCAATTTGCAAGTGAAAGTGTTGTCTCCATGAATTTCACATCAGATGGCGTTGTTCAAGGTCCCGGATTTAATGGCACTGTTTACAGCATTGGCAAGTCTGCTTTTTTTGTGGTTATTTTTCATAGCAGCTTACTTCTATCTGTGCTTTCATTTCAACAAGTTTAGACTGCACTTGCGATTCTGGCATTCTCCGGTTGAATGAAACCAGAAGGACACTTCAAGTGGCTTCTCCAGGCTTTCTAGCTGGTGCTCCTACTTACTGCCCAAATCTTACCTGTTCGTGGATAGTGCAGTTTCCAATAGACAATGAGGTCGTTCTTAATGTCTCTATGGTCCAGCTTCGTGCAATTTCTCAGTTTGACCAACTGTTGATAGAGGACAATTTCGGAAGGACTATAATCGCGTGAGTTCTGAATCAAATCTTGGCACGAGATTGGCAATCGGACGTTTGAAAAACAAAAACTGCTCTTGGCTAAATGAAAATTACGACTTTCCTTTCTGACTCAGTCATCGCTCGGGCTCGCTCGGTTCTCTAGAAAAACAGGATGACCTCAAATGGTGCTTGAGATTGTGCGTCCAATTTATTGCAGTTCTCTTGTCGGTTGGGGCGCGTTTCTTTCCTCTCTAAGCTTGATACTTTTGTTGAGATCTGAAAACTCCATACCGCTAATCCTTTTGCATTTCCTTGGACTGCTTTCAGGTTTGCATGATCCAGGACCGTTCCAGCGTCGTGCGGAACCCGTGGTCGATCAATACGGGGCGCGTTCATGTGAGTTCCTGCACAGTGTTGGCACGGTCCCGGAACGGCATTGGCAAGGAAACTTCGAATATTGTCTTATAAACATCCTGTCCAACATTTACCTTTCGGCTTAGCTTAATTTTTGGCGGCTTATAATCGGTGCGTTTCAGAACAAATTCCACGATATATTACGGTCAGCGAACATTCATATTCACATCTGGAGAATTGCGCATCAGCTTCGTTTCTTCAACTACTACATTCTTCCCTCCGCAGAATGCTCAACCAGGGTTTCTGCTCGATTTGGTGCTAGTCAAAAGTACTTCTGAATAACATCCAAGTTGCATAAAATGCTGATGTGATTTAAATTTCAGAGGAAATAAGAAAGACTGTTATCAAGTTTACTGACGATTATTTTATGGCAGATATCTCAACTAGACACTTTGCGGAAGGACTGAACGCGACATATGAATATTCAATAACTGCAAGGCCAGGAAGACAGGTACGCAAAGAAACTTCTGTTAAGCTTTATTTAGGACATAAAAATAAGTACACATTTTCAAATCATTTTCAAAAATTAATAAAATGCTTTTCACAAAGTCTTCTGCATAGCTTCGAGTACCGTTTGGTAAAACAGACTTAAGCTTACCATCAGACGTAAAGCAAACGTCCATCGTTCTTCATTATTGTAGTGGAACTGAACTTAATTTAACTGGCTTGGAGGCTGAGAGGCGGGGCTTTGTGACCTAACTAATCCCGCTCGCGCCCGCTACGCAGTCTGCGCCTCTCCCTTGCGCGTGCTCTCTGATCATTACCTAGCCTCATTTAAGACAAGAAGCCCCACCTTCCAGCCGCCAAGCAAGTTGAGTCAAAGGGTACAGTAGGAACTTTCAGCATGCAGCGCCATTGTGTAATAGGCCGTTTGGGCAAAAACTTCCACAAAAACCCGAAAGATCGTAGCCTTGTTTTCACACATGCTGATTTTATAAGACAACTTTCTACGAGCTTTTAAAGAAGTGCAAATGGTTCAATTACATTTGTGTAAATACTGAAAAATTTGCGGTTTACCTGGCATAATTTGTGAAAAAGTACTTCAAAGTTGAACTTCATATTAATGAACAGCGACTGTAGCCATTGATGTCTTGAGACCCTCTTGAAAGCTCCTACCGTAATCCTACAGTAATCAAGAGGTTGGGTAATTTGCTATAAATGTAAATTTGAGTTGAAACCAGCTCTATTGAATACTTAGAGCTAAGCAAAAGACATTGGGGAAGAGAGTTATAAATAATCAAAGAGTGTGTACTTAGTTTGGACCCAGTAATCTCAAAAACTAATTTAGGTTAACCTGCATTTTTTCACGGTACTGGATGGAGTTGCAAATGTGCAGATTTATGATGGTCCCGACACAAATTCAAAATTAATAGACACCAGGTTTGTCAATTCACTTCACTATGAAGATTTACTAGTAATTTTAGCTTCTTGTTTGATAATGACACAGTCCTGGATGGTATTCCTTTGGAATTAAGCTCAACTAGTGAAACCTTGTTACTACAAGTGAGACCGAATCTGTACACCACTAAGGGTTATCTAGACTTTCAAGCGATGGTTACGGACTGGAGTCAAGGTGGGTAAACCATTTTATTTACTTAAGTGATTTCATATGGTCATGCAGCAGTGACTGCCCGAGATAGTTCTGGATAGGAGAGTTGGGGGGGGGGGGGGGTTAAGGGGTCGTTGAAAATCTTTTTTGACAAAGGGGGGGGAGCGTTAGCCACGTAGAGGCAACGCACAACTTTTTACAACACTGATGGAGTTCTTGTAAAAGTTGAAGATTTTCCGTGCTAACAATAATTTGACCTGTTGTAGTTAGTTGTAAGTTGTAAGTTAAGTTGTAAGTTGGTTGTAAGTTGTAAGTTGCTAGTTGCTAGTTGCTAGTCGTAAGTTGTAAGTTAGTTGTAAATTTAGTTGCGTGGGTTTACACTCATTAGGGCATTTTTGAAAATTTCGTGACCTATTTCCTCTCCCCCCCCACCCCTCCTTCGGTTTTTCACTTTTATGTTATGTCGGTCTATATCTGCTATATCTAAAAAGGAAATCGTTTAGATTTTCAGATACTAATTGTCCTCCACTCGTTTTGGCTGCATCAACGTCCTCAAATCCAACTTCGGTCAAACTTACTGGATCAAGGTGCCTCAGTGTAAGATATCTACAAAAGTTAGCACAACGACAATTTGTAATAACACTTATAACTGCAAAAATTAGGGAAAAGGCATATTCTAGGTTTTTCATGCAAATACCGATTATGATCCGTCGGCCGGTACCATAGTACAGATACAAGATTCGTCATCGATATCTTTATACAAAGGTTTAACAACAAATTCTTCTCATCTACTGAATAGGTAAGAGATTTCAAACTCATTTTTTAATAAAATTTTTGCTGATCCTTTGAAATTATTTGCTTCGGTTTTGAAATTCGCCTCATTTCAGTCCAAACGTCTATGAATATCCATCATTCATCTACGATGCATATGTAGCGATATCCTACAACTCCTCGCGTGGAAATTCTGTAACGTACTCATGGACCAAACGAGGTTTCACTCGATTTACTTCAAACTCTCAAGGGTTTGACTCAAAGCTATTGCGATCATGAAAGCAAATCTCGCTTTAAAGTGTGAAATCCCCGGACCAAAGTCAGTAACGGGGTCAAATGGTAGGCTCAAAAGGTGCACGAACAAGAAGCTACTAGGTAACAGCGTTACTCAAAGAGGCACAAAAAAGTCGTCAATATGATTTGTGGATAAAAGGACTTTTGAAGTTTTATGGAAATATTGACAAGGGAAGGATACTGACTTAGATTCGACTTTTGAGATAAGACACATATATTTAGAATCAGCTTTGAACGTTGATTCCAAATATGCTGTTCCTTGCTGCTTACCGTTATTCCGAAGCGAGTTATGGGCTTGCTGTTGTGAGTAATTAACAAAGTTCTGAATGTCGTAAGATGGCGCGTAGATAGGAATCTGCTGCTCGAAAAATTTGCTAGGATGTTGAACTAGCATCATATTGATTCTTCCGATCTTGAAAGGGACGTTATACAATTACAGAACCACCTAGACATCGACGCCGTAGGCAGTAGGTTGAGGAGCATGCAAACTTTGCAGAGAAAGGAGACCGTCACTCGCTTCAGAATAATGCTAAGCAGCTAGGAAGAGCATATTTGAAATCAGCGATCCAAGCTGATTCCAAATACATGTGTATCATCTCAAAAAGCGAATCTAACAATAAGTTAGTATCCTTTCCTTGCGAGCTTTATCTAAAGATTTCATGCGACTTAATAGAGCAATTGCGGCGTATTTGCTCAAAACTCTTAATGCCTAGCGACACTTCTCTTCACTGCAACAAGGTGTCCCCCCCCCCTCGTCCCCTCCCAGAAAATTTTTGCCGTGATGTACATGTACCAGTGGCGGTCCCAGGATTTCGGACCGGGGGGGCAAAAATGTTTTTCCAATGAAGGTGCGTGGCGTTATCCACGTACTCCGAAAAAATTTTTGGGTGCTTCTCAAAATTTTTGCTGGTCCCCAACCCCTAAAATCTGGAAAAGGGGGGCGTGACGTCAGCCACGCCCCGAAAAAAAATTTTTTACAGGGCTAATTTGAATTTTAAAAAATCCTGAAAATTATTTTAATCAAAGTATAAACAAGTCACTTGCACATTTTTATAACCCATATAAGTAACTTTCAAAAATTTCGCGACCCAATCTCGGGGGGCGGCCCCCCCCCCCGCCCCCCCCCCCCCACCCCCTCGGTCCGCCACTGACATATACATATGAAAAATCAAGGAGTAGGCTCAAATGGTCATGTACGACAAATGCAGCATCCGCTAGCTTCTTAACAGCAGTGGACAGTCTCTCGCTTTCTATTCTAGTTTTCCTCCAGTTTTTCCGCTTCATAAATTCTCAAAAATGTGAAAAAACTATGCTATTTTGAGATTGTATGATTTTATATGATCAGCAGTGATAAGGGTCGCGACAGGGCTAGGCAACAGCTGGCACGGGTTGAGCTGGATATCGTTTTTGGGACAAAAAGCAAAGGGGATATCGTTTTATGGCCGAAAAGACGCAAGAATCGCGACGTTTTTTTGCTCGACGTTTCGTTTTTTGAGGGGTTTTTCTTACGTTTAGGGTTTAGAGTCAAAGGGGACTTCGCACAAAATTTTCAAAATCAAAGGGGATTCGTTTTAAAAATTTCCTGCCAGCTCGTGCCAAGCCCTGGTCGCGACTTGCTTTACGACTTACTTAGTTACTTACTTTTCGCCAAAAATTCTTTCCTACCCCAATCGTAAGCTATTTTGTGTTGGACCCTGTCTCAAATCCAGACTCATCTTCATATGCGTGCAGTGAAATACTAATTTTGAAAAGACGGGGCTTTCAAAGTTATATATTCAATCATAACTTCAGGATTCGTGACGACACTTACCATGTCTCCAAATCAATCTGGACTAATCATGTCGCAAGACTACTTGCCAATGTATCCTTCAAGTGCAATGCAGCAGCAATTCTCCATAGAGCTGGTGAGAATTGTTAACAAGTTCTTTTTCTGAATTAGACAATTTTTTCAAGCTACTGGCCATCTTTTTTAGTGAAACCAGAAAGAACAGAAAGCTTAGAGAAGTGCTTCGAATTTTCTCATAGGTTCAGTTTTGCAAACTGAGGAAAACTCCACGTGACGCGGTTCATTATTGGGGTACTGGGGTACGATACAAAAGAGTCACGATAATTATACTTATGGGAAAAGGGAAGAAATCAATTCTTTGATGGATTGATACGATTTTCTGCTAACTCTCGTAACACTCTAACCATGCTCAGAAATTGTGATCAACAGGAAATATGCGCTGCTCATTAGCATGCTGGTACAAACATGGCATTTCACAAATTATCATTTGCAGTATCGAACAATGTAAAATATCGACAAACAACTAACAGCTCAACACCAATCAGTTTTATTATAAAAATAACGAAAGAGAATGTCATACACGTAAACATCTCGGGAAACGCAAAAGCTCAGGAAATGCATACAACGTTTCCCCCGAATTTGTGATTTTGACCTCTGACACTGTGACTAGCGTAATACTACAGAGTCATTAATGATTATTTATCGATATAACCAATGAATAGTATTTTTATGCAGCACAATCTGTAAGCCCTTCAGTCCTCTAGCAAAATCCGGATCATATTCAGCTATTGTAAAAAAAAAAGCATTACATTTTGGAAAGTTCTACCCACCAGTGGTTCGATATTTTGACCAAGCAGAAAGTGCTCCAATGGTAGAAATGAAAGAATGTTGTAATTGATTGATCGGTAAATTTGTGTATTGAGTGAGTGAAACGCGGTACACAGAACAGCGAGCACCTCAAACTTGGGCAATTAAACCTTTATTATAAAAAAATTCAATTAACAACTACAAAGCGAGTCGATGATGAACACAAGTAGTATATGATACATATACGTGACTAGCGACCCTACGGGTCGCTAGCAAGTGGGTCGGGGCAGATACAATATAAGGGCTTAGTTGTGACTATAATTACTTCTTAAGTTTCCTATTCCTTTCCTGAGAACTTTTTTTGCGAAAAGCATTAATTGGAGAACTGCTCGAAGAAGAGATAATCTCCACAAATCGTTCAGCATTTCTCGAAATTCCTGCTACAACAATGCATGGAGAATATTACTTTCCTCTCGTTTACCACGCTCTTTCTGCAAATTTCCTCTCCTCTCAGAGACATTCAGATATCCTCCCCCACTTTTCTACCCTCTCAAAGAGAATTTGCTCTTCCAGTTCTTCTCAACAAATTCCATAAAAGATCGTTGAGTAAGTAGCAGAACACCTACAGTTTTGTAGAAATACACTTATAACAACTATGTGTACTATGATAAACACTTTCCTCTCAGAATCAATGACAGCTACGAAATCAACCGTGCAAGAACTTTTTCAGAGAATCCCTCAATTTTTTCACCAAAGGAATATGAAGTTTTACTACAAAAGGATCACTCCCCGAAAAGCACACTACTGAGCCACCTAAAGACCGTCAATTAACATACAAAAAATTTGTTTCCCTGCCCGATCGAGTTGACCTACGTGCCGGTTATAGACCGATAGTAAGTATTCAAAAAGATAGTTTATGCCCTATGTGCCGCTTGAAGACCGTTTGAAAATTGTAAGAACTGCCCCAAACACACAAGAATCTGTTCCCCTGCCCGATCGAGTTGCCCTACGTGCCGCTTACAGACCGATAGTAACTATTCAAAAAAGAAAATTTGTCCTATGTGCCGCTTGAAGACCGTTTGAAAATTGTAAGAACTGCCCCAAACACACAAGAATCTGTTTCCCTGCCCGATCGAGTTGCCCTACGCAGGGCTCGGCACGAGCTGGCACCAGGGAAATTTCAAAACGAAGTCCCGTTTGATATTGACAATTTCGTACGAAGTCCCTTTTGACCTGTTTTGAAAACCCGTCATCATTTTTATATTATGGAAAAAATGTAGTAGTGTTTTCATGCATTTCTGATTTCATGAAAGAACTTTTCACAGCTTTTTGAGCTTTTTAAGTGGTCGAATCACATCTTGAGAAGCAGAAAAAGCCGATTTTTCGACTGCGGAGCGGACCGAGTGGTTTTCAAATTGCTATAAAACGCTGAAAAGAGAACATTATGAGACTGTTTCTTCTCCGTATGTAATCTTTTACAGTGTAGATACATTTTATGTAAAAAAGTATGAAAACTTATGTGAGCAAAGTGTCAGTGCCAGCTCAGCTGGCACCCAGCTGGCACGGTGCCAGCTAATTCAGGAAAAAGTTCGGCAGAGTTCATTCACATAAGTTTTCATGAATTTTTGGCACATAGTTCCGGTCCACCAACGCGCATGCACACACCAAATTTGGTGTCATACTATTGCGTTTTGGCTGAAAACAACGCCTTTGTTTGTTGATGGACAGCCATAGTAAGTATTCAAAAAGAACGTTTATGCCCTATGTGCCGCTTGAAGACCGTTCAAAAATTACAAGAACTGCCCCAAACGTACAAAAATTTATTTCCCTGCCCGATCGAGTTGCCCTACGTGCCGCTTACAGACCGATAGTAAGTATTCAAAAAGAACGTTTATGCCCTATGTGCCGCTTGAAGACCATTCAAAAATTACAAGAACTGCCCCAAACGTACAAAAATTATTTCCCTGCCCGATCGAGTTGCCCTACGTGCCGCTTACAGACCGATAGTAAGTATTCAAAAAGAACGTTTATGCCCTATGTGCCGCTTGAAGACCATTCAAAAATTACAAGAATTGCCCCAAACGTACAAAAATTTATTTCCCTGCCCGATCGAGTTACCCTACGTGCCGCTTACAGACCGATAGTAAGTATTCAAAAAGAACGTTTATGCCCTATGTGCCACTTGAAGACCGTTTGAAAATTGTAAGAACTGCCCCAGATACACAAGAATCTGTTTCCCTGCCCGATCGAGTTGCCCTACGTGCCGCTTACAGACCGATAGTAAGTATTCAAAAAGAAATTTATGCCCTATGTGCCGCTTGAAGACCGTGTATATAAGAAAAACCAACTACGACTCCTACAAAAAAAACAACAAATTCAAGTATTTACAGCGTATTCTCAAATTGCTGTACATGTCACTTTAGGACTTTCAAGTCTGAAAAATGCCCCAAACGCATAGAAATCTGTTTCCCTGCCCGATCGAATTGCCCTAGGTGCCGCTTACACACCGATACCTAGTTCAAGCACCAGCGGGACCCAGTTACACAAGCAAAGCAAGGTTGTTGTTACATAAACGCTTTCAAAAGTACCAGCGAGGCCAAGTTACTCACGCCTCTCTTGTCTACATGCGGAAGCAAAATAATTCTAAAGTGACTGTTCTTAGTTGGAGCATTTTTACCAAGAGTTGAGAATATAGATAAATTCAGCTCAAGTCAAGCTGTTCGCAATTTGGCATCATTTCAAAAGTACCTAACAGGAATACAACATATTTGAAAGACACATTTTTGGATAACAAGCTCGAAAAAAGCAGGTATAACAATCCGGACACTGGCGACCCAGTCTCTCATTGCGACACTCATGATTGCTTTTCGAAATACGTGTAACCCTTTTACGAAAATACGCTTAGTCACTCGTTATGAAATTTGGCAGCGTTCCAAAACGCATGCCACTTGGCAGCAATCCAATTCCAAAGATCAGTGTATTTCATCATAATTTTAACGTCTGCGGCCTCCTCGTTTGCCATGATCCAACTATCGGCGGCTTAATGGGTAAACAACGAATTCGTTATATATTACGTAGTGATCCAAATAGCCTGTAATTGCTGTGAGGGGTCCTGTGAAGAGGCTGTGACTTCACTCTGAAGCACTTGTGAGGGAAATGCTAATATGACTAAACTAGGCAGAGCGACAGATATTTTGAACAAACATACAAAGAAAAGAAGAAAAATAAATGGTACAGCACGACTATGCCTACTACTCTATGCAGTTCTACTTATATATTCAGCGAATATAAACATACTAGCTGGCTTACCCGGCTCTGCCCGGCCTTGTCATTATTTTATTCGTAATCAGCATGCTCGATTACCCTCCTGTGCCAACTCCCAGCCCCGTAGCTAAAATTTTGCAAAAAATCGATAAAATCGATATCGATCGATAACGAAGAGTAGCCTATGACACCCGTCCGGTCCCGAAGTGTATGTGTGCAAAGTTTGGTCCGGATCGGTTCAGAAATGGGATTTTCTATTCGGAACATACGTACACACAGACATACATACAGACAGACAAACAGACATTCAGCTTTATATATAAGATTAAACAACCATGATGAATGTATTGATAAGCTGCCAATGAACACGATGCTGTGAGGAATCTTTGGGCCTTAGCCACTTTACGGCGCTGCACATTCCTCAAGATCCAAAAAATGATACGAACAGCAAGTTTGCATAGCATTGTTGGTGTTGATTTGAATGTTCACATTTTTGTATAACATTGTCGACGTTCCGTAGCAAAAGTACTGAAAAGATGCGGTAGGGTATTGTTATTCTTTAACTATATATGAATCACATTTATAGGTGAGTGATAGCGCGCATATGAATGGAATCAAGATTGAATTTCTCAAGCCAACTGGACAAGGACACGGCACTATGCAAATGCAGCAGTATAACAAGTTATTGGATGAAATCCCGTGAGTACTAAGTTTTCTTACGATCCAGAAAATATTTAAAGTAAACATGATCGGAGCAAACCTTACAGTTGAGCGGCCGTTGGTTTTGTCAACTTTTGCGCGCTCATAATTACACCTCAAAATATTGTACCTACTTCCAATATCAATAGAGAAGAAAGAAGAATGGTGGGTAAAGGAACAAACCTAAGAACGATGGGTTTTTTGTGTTGCGGACATCTGCTACATACCGTGCATAATAACACAATGCGGCGGACACCAGCTGAGCGCTAAGCGGGAATAACGTTCCCGATGGGGTCCGCGGGAATAACGTCCCCACTCAGTGGGCAAGCCAACACGGATTCCACATATCAAATTTATGAGATTAAAAATTGGATAAGCATGCTGGTGCTTGGAATGCGTTGCTAGATTTTCCATTTACTTTTTTTTCCTTATGTTCTAAGCAAACAAACTCCTTCCTGTATTTTCCTTATAGCTTGAGATACGTCAGACAATCAAGCGAGACTTTGAGATCCTACACATTTCTAGCCGCGCTGTCATAAACCGCTATTCGTTATTACCAGGGCTCGGCACGAGCTGGCACCAGCAAAGTTTCAAAGCGATGTCCCCTTTGATTTTGAAAATCTCATAGGAAGCCCCTTTGACACTCAACCCTAAACGCAAAAAACCCTCAGAAAAACGAAACATCGACAAAAGACGTCGCAATTTTTATGTCTTTTCGGCAACAAAAACGATATCCGCTTTTTGTCCTAAAGATTCCAGATATCCAGCTTGACCGGGTGCCAGCTTTGCCGAGCCGTAATTACGAATGCTCTAATCTTGCGGATTCGAAGTTTCTGGTAATAAAATTAGAAAAAGATTATCAACGTCACTTTGATATGATATATAATATATAGAACTGACAATATATAATATATAGAACTGATAATATATAGAACTGACATATACTATAGATAACGACAAAAGCAGGATTTATAAAAAGTGCTATAAATGGAGCACTGTATTGAAAGCATACAAAATCACTCCGGGGCGCATGCAAAGCTATATAATCAAGGCAAAATAAATGCGGACCGGCTTGCTGCCAGTTTCCCGCAGAGAGCAGAAAAACCATTCAAAACCTGGATTTTCTGAATGAGGAGCACAAAAACTACAAGCTGTCAAACTTGTTTCTGACCTTAACTCTTGTAGCTGGCGTCTGTGTAGAATCGCCACGCCTGGGTGATGGATACTGAAGATATGCAAGACATTACTCAACAACATTTGCAATAATCAAAGGTTTGGTTCATTTCGTGCAGGAGAAGTAAACTTCAAAGGCACCTACTACTCAAGAAATGGGGCTTTTTGAGGCTGCTAAAAATGGCCGGTTTTCAAAATTTTCTAATTTTTTTCCGCAGGTGGGCCTTAAAAATTGTGACCATGTCAGCCTCCGTTGAATCTACATAAATATCTAGAGCTGTCCATTTACCTTCGTGATGCCGATTTCCAGGTCGACCTTTTCCTTTTCTGCGCTGGTGGTCCGAAATGAAGGGCTGATAACCCAAAAAATAAGCATGCTTTGTAGACAACATTCTCTTTGCAGCAAAACTTGCAGCTCTCGATAAGAACAAATCTGCTTGAATTCAGCAGACTGAATAGAATTTCGGTAGTCTCTAGGAACTTTTTTTCCAACCTAGCGAACTGTGCAGAGTGCTTTGAACTTAACAAAACTCTGAAATGTTTGTTTTAATGACGGTCATTAACCTTTTAAACGCGTACGAAATCTCTAAGATGAAATTAGCCATTAATCCATGCCTTATCTTCCTATGTTTCTCGAAATCTTTCTTGCAGATATCCGAAAGACGACGGGAAAACCACTTTTGAACAATGTGGAACTAAAATGATTATCAGCTATATTTCCCCTGGAGGGACGTCCAATGGCTTATATGCGCGATATAGTCGAGGTAAGTTTACTGCAGACATTCTTAACTTTTTAATGGTAAATCTTCAGGGTCGAAAAACTGCAATAGCGGAAATATTTCTAGTTACAATGTAACATTCGGCATAATGTTGGTTTTATGGTTATTTGCAGTGCGTCAGGATGAAGCACAAAACAAATGATCTTGCTCTTGCTCTAGAATTGAAAAATAAATAAAAACTATACTGAGTCGAGGCTGTATGTTAAGTCTTACACGAGTAAAACCCATGCTCGTAAAAAGTGATCTGGCAACGTACTGCTTACCATTGTAGAAATTGGAAAAAAATTCACAAAAAACGCGGTCAAAGGCAGTTCTTTGCTAGAGGATTCTTCGAATTCAATGTCAGAACAGCTAAATAACTCTGATATAAAGACGAGACGGTTCACCTCGTGTCATCTGCTACCAAGGCCACAAATACTAGATTTTAAAATTTTCAAACGATTGTTTGTAACTTCAGTCAGTAGAATATAAGACTTTTTAGCGTCAACTCTTCTCTATAACATCCAAAGATTGTGATGTTACACATCATATGCTGCTTAACTGTTGATTTGCCGTTCACAAAAGAGAGCTCATTACTGACGAAAGGATCGGAAACTAAAACCCTAGGTTAATTACGCATTCTGAAATGCTTATGGCTCAAGCAGTTTGTGCCCAGCGCAGTAGATCAAGGACATTAGAGATTTGTCCGTTGAGTAGACTGTTTCCATTCAACAATCACAGTTAGTACTTATGTAAATTTGGCCGCGTAATGCTTGGTGAGAAGGGAAAGATTGTTTGATAAAAGTGTCTGCGGATGATCGGAATGTCTGTAGCCACGTGATTACTGACTCATAAAAACGATAACATACATACGAAATCATAAACCTTCCCTCCCAGCTGTTTTCCTCTCCGAGAGCCTTTCTTAAGGCCGCATGCACTAACATGGCCGCGGGGAGGGGATCGCAGCTTAAGAGAAAGCTTCATATTTCAAAACTCTAGATAAATGGATTTCACGTTGTGTACCTATCCGTAAGTATTCCTACTATCCTTCACTATGAACATGTTGAACAGGAGCGAGAAGCTGTACAAACCGCATTTTCCAGCTTTTGTCTGATCCCTGATGATCCCCGGCGCTTTTCTTTGAAGTCATTTTTCTTTCTCCGAAGTTAACGAAGAACTTACAAAGTTGTGCAGATTATCTAACCCAACAGTGCTAAGCATGTTGCTGATAAGAACAAATGATGTTTTGAAGTCATGAAATTTTCGATGATCCACTGGTCGAAATTTGGGGTTTACCGAAAAACTCGATTTTTCAAAAATTCATTTGTTCTCATCAGCAACATGCTTAGCACTGTTGTGTTAGATGTTTAGTACAACTTTGGAAAGTTTTCGTTAACTTCGGAGAAAATAAAAAGGCTTTGAAGAATAGATGTTCGTCCCCCAGGGATCATCAGGGGATCCTACAAAAAGCTGGGAAATGCGGCTTGTACAGCTTCTCGCTTCTGCTCAATATGTTCATAGTGAAGGATGGTGGGAGTACTTACGGATAGGTAGACAGCGTGAAATCCAGATATCCGGAGCTTCAGGATATGAAGCTTTCTTTTGAAGCTGCGATCCCCTCCCCAGCGGAAATGTTAGTGCATGCGGCCCTTAGTCTTTTATACCATGAGCAAACCACGGAAGTGCAAGTAAGCCGCTATAAGCTACCGGTTTGAAACAGGAAATCACAGAAAAAAAACATTTTCGCTTAATATCACGTTTATACGATCTGAACTTCACAACAGAGCATTTATTCAAACTCTGCGATCACGGCGCTTGTAACTGTATTCGAGCTTCTTTTACTAACGATAAAAACAGGAGTGAGGGGAATGTTAGAGAAAAAAGTGAATTTTTGTTAAGCAGGTGCAAAATTTTTGTCAGTTTTTTGAGCCGGCGAATATGGTAGAAAGATAAACAAATACTTCAAACTGTATCTAATGCAGATTTTTTTCTTTCCCATCCCCAGTGTGATTTGTTGAGAGTGTGCTGAGGTAATCGCTGGAATTTACAACCCTTCGCTTTCATCATGTCTAACTTTCGCTAATTTTTCAAAAAATTTATTTGAGACTTCCGGGGAAGTTTCAATAGCCAGCAGATGGCAGACCTTTTGCCAATCCAAACCTTTTTTCTTCTTTTTCAGCTACTCTTTCAGAATTTTGGTAACTAATTTCCTAGAGTTTTTGAGTTTTGGAAAACGCAAAACCTGGTATCGAATCACACACCGCAGAATTTCAGAATACAGAGGATTCAACACTGGATCATTCCTATTAAGCACCTTACAATTTGAAACTATACCTCTGTGTGCACTTGCCAGGTTGAGAAAGAATGATTTTCTACGCGATGCTTGTCTCGCCAAGAAAAGGCAATTTCAAAAAAGAGCAGAAGAAGTTGCATTGAATAATATCTGAATTGTTTACTAGCTCATGTTCTGTAAGGTTGAAATACCGAGTATAAACTTTGGTTACATCGAAAAATAATTTCAGACTTTCTGAAAGACAAGCCATAGAGCTAAAATTGCTTCAGTCAGCGAAACGTTTTGCCCTATCTGTTAGTTATCAAAATTTCCCCAAAAGTCTCATTTAAAAATTTCAAAAATTAGCGAAAGTCAGACATTGTTGAAAAGAAAGGTTATAATATACAGCGGTTATCTCAGCACTCTCCCAATAATCACACTCGGCATATAGCCGTTAGAAAAAAGAAGAAATCATACATCGGATACGATTTGAAATGTTTGTTTGTCTTTATACTACCGTATTTGCCGGTGGATTCAAGAAACTGACAAAACTTTTGCACCGACCTAACATTCTCGAATTAAGTCAAACTACAATTTCAAATTGGCACCAAAGCTGGTGCTAACAGCCAGTTTTTGTTTCTTGGAATCAAAATAATTTTCTGAATCCTACAAAAAGTGCACAAACTATGTTAGAGAAGATTCTACATGGTGCCAACCCTCACAAAATCATTAATTGCTCTTGGAAGAATTTCCAATCTGTCTTTAGAAATGCTGTACCTTCCTCAAGGAAGTTACGAACATTTTCACAACTAAAAGTTACACTGTTTTCGATAGCGGAAACTTGTGAATATCAAAGTTTGCAACATTGTATGCAAGGATAACCTTCATTAATTGCGTACAAACTTGAAAGACTCGGTTTGCAACCGTTCTGACTGATCACCAATAGGCAAAATCATGCATGGAGAAGATCATAATTCATACAATCGCTTAACAGATAGTAAAAGCGCATTCAAAACTCGTTTCAAGAACTAGTGGTACATATGTATCTCAATAATGACCGCTGTCACCAAGTATCCTTCTATTGCCAGCTTGGCCGAATTTCATGAATCAAGCTTCCGACTTTCAGGAAAACCGCGCAATTTTTTTAAAGGGTTCTTTTATGCCTCTTTCATTACTTATTCAAAGAAGTTACTTTTTGCATCGCATCGCCTTTCCAAAGAAAAAAAATTCTTGCAACGTCAATACAGGGTGTCCCAAAAGTAAGTATTGGGTTGAACCGAAAGTTCGTTCGCACCATTTTCAAAAAATCATAACTTCTTTCCGTCACGACGATTTTGCGCAAGTTAAATTTTATTGGAAAGCGTAAAGCATGTAGTTTCCAATAGTTCCCTGGCGACTTTCCAGCATGTTCAGATTGCAGAGATAAAAATGAAAGAACGAAAACATCCGAAATTCGGAATTTTTGAGAAACAATTCCAAAAATCTAGAAACTGCGCGACAAAATCCAGAAAAGCCATTATCCTAATTTTCCTTATATTTGATTACTAACTGAGTTAAGTTTGAGCTGATCGAGCTTTTTTTTTTAAAGTTATGATTTTTTGAAAAAAAAATCCGAAAAATCACTTTCCTAAGAATTCCTAAGAAATCGATTTTTCGGCATTTTTTTTTCAAAAAATCATAACTTTTGAGAGAAGAGCTCGATCAGCACAAACTTAACTCAGTTAGTAATCAAATATAAGGAAAATTAGGATAATGGCTTTTCTGGATTTTGTCGCGCAGTTTCTAGATTTTTGGAATTGTTTCTCAAAAATTCCGAATTTCGGATGTTTTCGTTCTTTCATTTTTATCTCTGCAATCTGAACATGCTGGAAAGTCGCCAGGGGACTATTGGAAACTACATGCTTTACGCTTTCCAATAAAATTTAAATTGCGCAAAATCGTCGTGACGGAAAGAAGTTATGATTTTTTGAAAATGGTGCGAACGAACTTTCGGTTCAACCTAATATATTCTCTTCAATCGCCAATATCTCTCTTCCCAATGGGTCTTTTTCTGCCAATTAAGTACCATTCTGTAGAGGAGGCATCAACTTAGATTCACGGTATCGATCAAATCACCGATCGCCCTTCGTTGCTGTGGGATTACGGTAACTTTCAGCATGTGGAATCATTGAGAAATATGCCATCTGACAAAATTTTTTTCAAAAAATCTGAAAAATTGTGCACTAGGGTTTTCGCGCACGCTGATTCCATTACACAACTTTTTACGGGTGTTTTCAGATGACCGTGCAATCACATTTCTGACAAATACTGGGAATTCGGTTATTAGGCTTACTTAGGATAACTTTGGAAAGAAGCATCACAGTAAAGTGGAAATTTCATATACGAAATCAGCGGCTTCCACAACCATAGCGCAAGGGTTTTTGGCTTGTTTGGTTCTGTTCCAAGACAGAATATGGCTTTCAATGTCCTAAAATCTTTGTCGAAGTTCCTACAGTAATCGTACGGTAATGAAAAGCGACCGGTGGTACTCTCGATACTGCAAATCTAAGTTGAAACCTCCTATACAGAATGGTACTTGTATGAGGAAAAAGACATAATGGGAACAGAGATATTAACTATTGAAAAGTGTGTACTTACTTTTGGGACACCCTGTAATATACAGTGTCTACACTTCTGCGCCATGGATGTATTAGGTTGTCCCGAAAAATTTGTCCGTTTTTTCAAACCACTATAGAATCACGCATAATAACGATCCGAATGAGTTTCAACATGCATTCGATACAGCGTTTCCTTCTCTTTCATAGGCATATATTTCGAACCATAATCTTGTATGCTTTTTTTGATAATTGCCAAAATTCTCCACCCGTCAATTTTATCTGCTCAAAATTAGG